TTTCTTCCCTTATTCTATTATCACAACTTACTTATTTTTTTCTTCTAAAACAACCTAGCATTTGTAGGATAAACTTTGAATTAGAGATATTGTCCTTTCTGTCAGATTTTGCTTGCTAATACTTTATTTATTTATTATTTTTTGAGGCGGAGTCTCACTCTGTGGCCCGGGTTGGAGTGCAGTGGTGCAGTCTCGGCTCACTGCTACCTCCACCTCCCGGGTTTAAGCGATTCTCCTGCCTCAGCCTCCTGTTCACCATCAAACCTGGCTAATTTTTGTATTTTTGTTAGAGATGGGTTTCACCATGTTGATCAGGCTGGTCTCAAACTCCTGACCTTGTGATCCATCTGCCTCAGTCTTCCAAAGTGCTGGGATTACAGACATTAGCCCCCCGAGCTTGGCTTGCTAATACTTTATTAAAATTTTTGAGTATGATCATAAGGGATATTAGTCTGAAATTTTCTTGTAATAACCTTATTAGACTTTCATGTCAGAATTATGCTCATCTTATGTGTTCCCTTTTTCTCTGTTTTCTGAAAGAGTTTGTGTAAAATTGATCTTGTTTCTTCCTCACCAGTGAAGCCATCTGCGCCTATAGTTTTGTTTTTGTTTTTTTTTTGGCAGGGAGTGGTTACCACAAATATAATCTCTGTCATGTTATAGGGTTACTTCAGTTTCCTGTTGCAGTCACACTTCTGCCACATTTTGTTTTTCAAGAAATTTGTATATTACTTTTTTCTTCTTTGTTCTTGATTAGTCTAACTCATTATCAGTTCTATTAATATTTAAGAATAACTTTTGGCTTTCTTTTTATTCTTTTTTCCATTTTAGATTTTATTTACTCTTCCCAGTTTCTTAAGATAGAAGCTTAGATTGTTTATATATCCTCCATTTTTAGTATAAGCATTTAAAACAAATTTTACTGTAATTTCTGTATTGGGTATATGTCACTAATTTTATGTTGCATTTTTGTTGTCAAATCAGTTCAAAATACTTTCTGATTTCCCTTGTGATTCATTTAAAAGTGTGTTACCTAATTTAGATATTTAGGGATCTTTCATACATCTAACATAGATCTGTTGTGGTCAGTAATATGCAGTGTGCCATTTCAGGTTTTTCAAATTGAGAAATATTTTATGACTGATACCAGTTTTTAATCTTACGCTTTTGATTAGCCTAGTTAGGGTTTTAATTACTGATTAGAGATTTAATAAGAGTTAGGGCATATATCCTCAAATCAAGATATAATAGTGATGGAACTCAGTATTGTCCCTACTTAGTATCTCTGGCATCTGACTAATTATGTTCTTTGCAGTCAGGAGTTAAGGTAGTTTACGGCCAAATTAAGAGTCTCCATCAGGACATTTTTTCATATTGACATCTATATTTGCTTGATCAATAGATTTTTTAAAATAAAATAATTTTTATTTTCTATGAATGTCTTCAGCATTATTAGTAATAAGAGAAAAGCTGATTTACAAGAGTTTATCATACATACTGTATTGGTAAGCAATTAAGTCAGGGAGACCTGAGTTTAAATACAATTCTTTACTTAGCTGCTTACATGACCTTAGCGAAATTACTTAACTTCCCTGAGCCCTAATTTTCTCATTTGTAAAATCAGGATGACAACAGTACTTTAGTAGAATTAAGTTAAGTATATAATATTTAACAAAATAAGGTGTATACCTAGTCTGTGCTGATTAGTAAAAATACCAGAGCCTTTCAGAGTAGTAGATCTTTAATACCATCCATATTGATGTTTTGTTTAAAAAAAAAAAAACTCAAGGAAATAGGAATGGAAGTGGGAATAAATAGGGCAAATAACTGTTGCTTTTCATAGGAAGTAATAGAAGATGATGAGCAGTTGCTTTTATATTCTTAACCATATGTCATTTCCTTTTTCTTGAAAACAATACAAATCTTTTAAAACTGAGTTTTATGTTTTAAGTTTCTATATTTGTGGAAGACTTTTAAATAGTTTTGAAATCTCAGTTACCATTTTATAAAATCAGAACTTTAAAGCACATAACACAAATTTCTTACTTTAATAGATTCTACTGGTGATAATTCTGATTGTAAGGTTTATTTTGTCAACTACTAAACATGAGTATTGACCAATTTCAATAACCTTTCTTTGTGACTTCATTTTCTCATCTACAGAATGAGGATAAATTTTATTTTAATTCATTTTTGCTATTGGGAGTAGATGAAATAATTTGTTATCTTTGAAAATATGTGTTAAATAAAAGCTGATAATTATTGTAGGGATTTTCCTTTTGATTAATTATAATGTGATGTAATATATTCATTCTAGGATCTTTGACAAAATTGTCATATATAAATTAATTCGAGTTTTTAGTGCTCAAGAATATTTCATGGAAAATTTTAAGTCATTTTTTTTCTTAGAAAATCATGAGGCTAATGTTAAAGAGTTAGATTGTTTTGTTTTTTAATTTTCAAGATTATGAAAACCAAGAAAGCTTTAAAGCCATCCCAGTAGATGAGTTTAAAGTGTGGAATATTTGAGTAAATTGATGAGAATCAACTATAAAACCTAATACAGGCATTTTCCAAAATGAAGTTTGCATCATTAGTACTTTAACTGTAGAATATTTTTGTTGGTGCATTTACCTGCTTTAAACTGGGTGGACAATAGAAACAGATATTCAGCTGCTTAATGGCATTTCACTGTATGGTCTTAAGTATTTCATCAGTTTTTAGAAATATGTATATAGCTTTATGTAACTTCAGTATTATTAAAACTGTTTTGATTATGACCTAATGGCCAAATTTAAATTAGAATTTTAGAAGAGCTCTTAAAAACTGCAGGTAAGCATTAGAGTGACCCTAAATCATAATACCAACTTTTTAAAAAATTGTATTTGGTCTCTGGGGTACATGTCCACGTCCTGCATCCTGCAGGATTGTTGTGTAGGTACATACATGCCATGGTGGTTTGCTGTCTCCATCCCCACCCCCTGCCAACACCATCGCCTACATCAGGCATTTCTCTCAGTTTTATTCCTCCCCACCCTGCTGCCTCTGTCCCCCATCCCCTCCCCTCCCCTCCCCTCCACTGTGAGTTTTGTTCCCTTCCTTGTGCCCAAGTGTTTTCACTGTTCATCAGCCACCTATGAGTGAAAACATGTGGTGTTTGGTTTTCTGTTCTTGTGTCAGTTTTCTGAGAATGATGGTTTCTAGGTTCATCCATGTCTCTACAAAGGACACGAACTCATTGTTTTTTATGGCTGCATAGTATCTCATGGTGTATATGTGCCACATTTTTTTTGTCCAGTCTGTCATCAGTGGGCATTTGGGTTGGTTCCAGGTCTTTGCTATCGTAAACAGTGCTGCAATGAACATGTGTGCATGTGTCTTTATGGTAGAACGATTTATAAGCCTTTGGGTATATACCCAGTAATGGGATTGCTGGGTCAAATTGAATTTCTATTTCTAGATCCTTGAGGAATCACCACACTGTCTTCCACAATGGTTGAACTAATTTATATTCCCACCAACAGTGTAAAAGTGTTCCTTTTTCTCCACATCCTCTCCAGCATCTGTTGTCTCCAGATTTTCTGATGATCGTCATTCTAACTGATAAGAGATGGTATCTCAATGTGGTTTTGATTTGCATATCTCTAATGTCCAGTGATGATGAGCATTTTTTCATATATTTGTCTTTTGAAAAGTGTCTGTTCATATCTTTTGCCCACTTTTGAATGGGCAAAGGGTTTGTTTGGTTTTTTCTTGCAAATCTGCCTTAATTCTTTGTAGATTCTGGATATTAGCCCTTTGTGTGATGGGTAGACTGCAAAAATTTTTTCCCATTCTGTTGGTTGCTGGTTTACTCTAATGATTGTTTCTTTTGCTGTGCAAAAGCTCTTAAGTTTAATTAGGTCCCATTTGTCTAGTTTGGCTTTTGTTGCCAATGCTTTTGGTGTTTTAGTCATGAAGTCCTTGCCTGTGCCTATGTCCTGAATGGTTTTGCCTAGGTTTTCTTCTAGGGTTTTTATGATGTTTTGTCTTATGGTTAAATCTTTAATCCATCTGGAGTTAATTTTTGTATAAATTATACAAAACTGATTTTTTTAAGTTAGAAAAATAACTTGCTTCTTGATAGCTCATGTAATATCTTTGTTTATTCTGCCATTTAGACAGAATTTACTAGTATACAAACTACATATCTTTGGGTTACCATTATATGCGGCCATGAGACTTTTTTTGTTTTTTTTTTTGGTCTTTGTATTTGCATTACTAGCAAATTGCCATAATTAAGTAACTAAAATCATACCCACTATGATTTAAAAGTTACATTAAGGCTGAGCGTGGTGGCTGACACCTGTGATTCCAGCACTTCGGGAGACTGAGGTGGACAGATCACTTGAGGTCAAAAGGTTGAAATCAGCCTGGCCAACATGGTGAAACCTCATCTCTACTAAAGAAACAAAAAATTAGCATGGCCAACAATACAAAAATTAGCCAGGCGTGGGGCACATGCCTATAGTCCCAGCTACTCAGGAGGCTGAGGCACAAGAATTGCTTGAATCCAGGAGGCAGAGGTTGCAGTGAACTAAGGTTGCTCCACTGCGCTTCCAGCCTGGGTGACGGTGAAACTGTCTCGAAAAAAAAAAATAAAAATAAAAGTTATATTAAGATTAAATATATAAATTAGAAATTCAGTGGGAAATGGTCTCAGGATCTGTGAAGGGGAGGAGGCTGTAGCCCATTTTAATTTAAACTTTAAAAGAGAAAATGGGAATTCAAATAGGATGATGCTATATTTGATATGGGGAACATTATCTGGATGTTGAGAATTGTTAATAGGTGGTTTATGAAGAATTCTTTTGGTATTTCTGAAAATATACTCACTCACTTGCCTATTTAACTGCTCTGCTTACAGGGGGCATCTGCTTTATGAAAGCTTGTGTAATTAAAGGATAATTTGGCATTTTAAATCCTAATGTTAGTACCTGTGTTCTTTTTTTTTTTTTCAGGTGGAGCATATTATTTAATATCTAGAAGTCTAGGGCCAGAATTTGGTGGTGCAATTGGTCTGATTTTTGCTTTTGCCAATGCTGTTGCAGTTGCTATGTATGTGGTTGGATTTGCAGAAACTGTGGTGGAGTTGCTTAAGGTAATTCACCTTCCTTTCAATCATTCGTTTACCAAATCTTTATTGAGGAATTATATGCCACTCATCATGAGAGGTTAGGAAAGCAGTGATATAACCAAGAGACTCGTCCTTCTTCAAAAAGTTTAGTACAGGAATAGGCAAAGAATAAAATACTATTAGAATGTCAACAGTGGCAACACAAAGGGGGAGCATGTAAGTTACTTATTAGGAATTGGGGTTGCCAGGGAGTCAAGGAAGGGCTGTCCAAGGATGGGAGTCTAGATGTTAGTTAGCAAGCCAATTGGAAAGGTCGAAGTGATATGAGGGGAATAGGGAAGAAAAGGAAAGAAAGCCCTGTAAGGGTTAGAGTTCAGAAAATTACATTTTTGTATGGTTTAAGCACAAATCAGCAAGATATTTAAGAGTAGAGAGAGAAAAAATAATCAGGAAAAGGGTCTTATTTGCATTTAAGTTTGGGTTTTTTTTGGGATTGGGGAAGATGACGTGCCCAGATTTGGGATGTAGGGAAGTGTCTGACCATGGTATAGAGAATGGACTTGAGGAATAACAGCTGGAGATAGAGACCATTTAAAAGATTGTAGGTATCCTGGGAGAGGAGATGGTGGATTATATTAAAACAGTGACTTGTAGGGTGGGAGAGATGGGGGCAAATTTGGGAGATTTTAAATAATGTGAATGAGTGGATTTGAGAATTAATGGGATGTGTGAAATTAAAGAAATAAAATTTCAAATTTATGCACAAATTTCTGACTTTTGAATTTAGTTGGAAGATAATGCCATTTGCAGTGAAATGGAGAACACAGGACAGTTTAGTTTGAATGTGTTAACAAGAGTAGCCATGAATATATCCAAATAGATATATTTGGCTATATTGCTCTGGAGTATAATTGAAGAAGTAAGAGTGAAATAGGATTCCTCAAATATTATTAAATGAGAGGAACCTCAAAAGTAACACTTATAATTGCTCATGTTAGGTTAGGTTGTAACTATTCTACAGTAGCAAATGGTACCTTAGGAAGTATAAAATCTGACAAGAACTGACACCTACCTTGACACTGACCTTTACTTGTGTACACCAAAGTGATGAAGAAAAAGAAGGGCTATAATACAGTAAGTAAGCAGTATAATCATTAGAGTTTATATTCTTTCATTGTTTAGTGTATGTTTTTATTTGATAGTAAAAGTTTAAGATTTACTCTGAACTCTTATCAGAGTATTTAATTATGATTTATACATGTGTTTGTTTCATGGAAAATTTAATTTAGAGAAATATGAAATTTGAAAACTTTTAATCAGATTTATATAAAATATTGAGCTATATCTATAGTCTTCTATTGCATGGTTTAAGAATCTAAAAGCCAGTCAATAGATATATACACTAGTATCATTTTTTTTTTCAAGTAATTGTCAGGTACGATTATCTGAGTGCTGCAGGGAATTTCAAATGTCAGATTAATTCAAGAGATATCAAAATCAAATTTAAAAAACAATGTTTTTTTCTGCAAAGTAGAAAGTACATACTGCTTAATGAAATTAAATGGGGTTCTTGAAGTTGGATAAGGTTGGGAAATAACTTTTCCTACTGTATTGGTTAAATATTAACACTTGCTATGCTTTTGGTTGGCAAAAGCATCTTTGGATCTGGGGGTTTTGGTACCCGAATATTGGTATTAAAGTCATTTATATGGAATTCAAGCAATATTATTCCTCCCTTGTAGTTAGTTGACTTTTATGAAAGAATTTCTTTTTAAAAGCATTAACAATATTAATTTTTTAAGAAGCAAGTTTATAGGATTATTATAATCTATACTTTTGTCAGTTGCAATAGACTACAGTCATCCTAAGTTATCAAAACAAATTATGTTTTAGTGTTTTTTGTGCCTTTTTTTGTACCTTATTTGAGAAGCGGTAGTAATTGATAAATAGCTTTTTACTTACCTAACTGGGATATCATAATCTTTAATTTTATTTTAGATTGGAATATTTTTTAAATGCCATTGATATTAAACTACAAATGAATTTGTTGGTAGAGTGGAAACTGTATGTTTTTGGACAGCAGCAGGAAGGTGTGCGTATCACTTTCTTGCAGTATAAAAGACCATTAGCATGAGTTCACTAATCACAATAAATACAAAATATATTTCTGCTATATAACTTAAAATTCTAACTAGCAGTATGAGTTATAACTTTTTTACTTCCTCGTTAGCAATTCATTTTTTGATTTGTTGAGGCTATATTAAATGTAGAAGTGTCAATAACACATTTATATCTTCGGATGCTTGAATGATAGATACCTCCGTGGTAAACAGTAATTTGTTCCTTTAGGTCTTCCTTTCATTTCTTAAGTAACTATTCAACTTCTACATGTAAGGCACTGTGATAGCTCTAAAATGTTTCAAAAGGAGTGTGAATTTGTATAAAAATAACTAATATTGCTTATATTTATGATTCTTTTTTTCTAGGATCATTCCATACTTATGATAGATGAAATCAATGATATCCGAATTATTGGAGCCATTACAGTGGTGATTCTTTTAGGTATCTCAGTCGCTGGAATGGAGTGGGAAGCAAAAGTAAGTTATGATAGGAACACCTGTAAATACTTAATATGTGAACTTTTAGAGCTTATGTTTTGGGAACACTCTAAAGTATGGTAATATTTCCAGATTCTAATGGTACCTAAGTGGCCATTTTCACAAAAGTTTATGTATAAAGTTATTTTCTACTTGACAAGGTAGAGAATTTTTTAAGATAACACTTAGCCTAGGACCTAGTTAAACATAGTATGTTTTAAATTTTGAATTTCCCACCTCACCCATTCTCCAGTTTTGGAGTATGTAAAAATGCTCAGGTCAGTGTATCAGTCCAAATTAAACATTTGACTTTATAATTTATTTAAAGGTTTAGCTTAAAAATAAATATGGGGCAGTAACTAAAAGTTAATGCCCACACGAGGTAAGAAAAGTTATTCTTGCTATTGAAATTTCAGAATTCATAACTCTGAAAGCCAGTAGCATTGTTTCTCAAAAAAATTGCTGAAGTCACATGTTACCCATAAGCAGAGCACCCAGATGTGTTTTTGTCTCTGAGAATTAGAGCATCATAGCAAAACTGTAGTTTCCTCCAAGTAATGGATATCCACAAAGGTGTTTACTTTTAAAGATCTTATAAAAGTCATGTATTTGTGCCCTATATGATAATGTTTATGAAACCAAAAATTAGGAAAGTCTAAAAGGATATTTTTCAATATTGTTTTTTACTTTAAAGTTATATTAGTATAAAATTAAATCATTTCTTTACACATTTTATAAATTGGCTTTGTGAAAATAACAGAATTTTATACCACTGGGATATGATTAGCATGTATGTAGTTCCTTTTCCCACAGATGACACAGTTCTTCATGAGTTTTCAGTTTTATTGAGAGGTTAAGAGTGGAGAAGGGGAAATGGTAGTTCTCATAGATTGTTTTTCCAATCCCATTGCTACTTGAATGATTTGCGTCCGTATATTGACGTCTTCTTCCTGTACCTTTTCTTATTTTCCTATAGCAATCACATATGCAGCATTATGTTTGGACCATGTATAAAACTTGTGTTTGTGTCCAGCATGTTCTCCATGTCAAGATTGTAGTGCTAAGGTGGAAGAGACAGGAATGAATGATCCAGAATGAAAGCCGATAGTGTTTTGGAATTTTTATCACTTTATGGCTTGTGGGAAGGCATACACATCTTTAACTTGTTTCAGAAATGTAGCATGATCTCACTTTTACTATCTTTTTTTCTGCCAGATATTTTTTTAAATATCTCTTTGTTCATTAAATGCAAATTTATTGAGCAGCTACTTGGCATGTGGCATTATTTAAGGCACTGGAGAATCAGGCAACACAAGACAGAAGTTCTTTCCCTCATGGAAGTTATATTTTAGTGGAAAGGAATCAAGATAAAGAAATAAGATACTTGATTTTAATTTTTAATGTTTAAAATTGCAGGCTCAGATTGTTCTTTTGGTGATTCTACTTCTTGCTATTGGTGATTTCGTCATAGGAACATTTATCCCACTGGAAAGCAAGAAGCCCAAAGGTTTTTTTGGTTATAAATGTAAGTAAAAAAGATTCAATACTTTTTTAAGGGTACCTGTTATAAAATTCTGTTATCAGTTAAATGTGCATTTTAGATATTTTGTAATGGATTGGGTATGGTTTGGTGATTCATCCTAATTTACAATTTAGTTTTGTCCCCTTTATGTATGCTGTACAATTGTAGTAAAAATTACTTTTATTTATATCTTTTTCATTATTAGCATTTTCATTATTAGCAACAAAAGGTGATAGAATATAGAGAAATCAGTGCTGCTAAGAAAAGGAGCTTTTTTTCTCTACTAGTTTTTGGAATTTGTAATTCAATTTCTAACTTTTATTCTAATGTGGCTTTCATTCTTTTAGCGTATTTAAGCACAGCAGTTTAAAAGTGCCTAAGATTGTGAAAGCAACTAGAAATACTAGTTTCTTGATACCATTGCATTTTTCAAGAGTACAAGCCATTTGCTTTTTAGGAGGTCTCTCCAGTTGTCTTATTTATTTTTATAGATTCAGGTTATTCCTTTTTGTCAAGAATGTAAGTGAATCATGTTTCCTCCTTAGTGCATCACATTTGGAGGATGCCTGATGCAGTTTTTTCTATTACTCAGTGGTGTTACTTTTGATTACTTAATCAAGGTTATACCTGCACAGTTTCTGTATTGTGAGGTTGCTGGTTTTTTTCTTTGCAGTTAATAAGTAATCTCCAGAAGAATACTCTGAGACTGTTCATAGGCCTGTCAGACTTCTACCACGTGGCTTCATCCTTAACCCTTCTCACATCTGACTTTTGTTGGTCAAAATTAGTCAGATGGTGCTGGATCCACTATGAGTTTTTTGTTCTCTCCTTTATTTCTCTTAGTCATTCCTTCTCCTTTTTGAAACATGTCTATTTTATTCGATGTCAGATACCCTAGGTGCCTAACTCACTGGTCACTATGTCTAGTACTCCAGTTACCCCTCTTTAAATGCAGAATTGTACAACTATTATAGTGCTGACCTTCTAGCTATATACTCTCCCATGGGTGGTGTGTATTCTGATGGCTCAAAATGCTATTAAGGGTCTGACATGTTTCTATTCCTGAATCTCTCCTTTAAAGTCCAAACGTAATGTATATCCAACTGATTATTTGAAGTCTGTCCTACTAATTTCTTCTCAGGCTTTTCCATCTAAGTAAGTAGTTGAAACCAGGATCTTAGTATTTCCTGTTCTACCTGCGCCTTTTAATTTCTAATTATTTCCTAATCTGTGCATTTATTCTCCCATCTCTAGATTGAGCCTCTGCAGCAACCTCCTAATTGGCCTCCCTGTTTCAGATGTTGAATCTTTCAGTCAGTTGTCCACACATTAATAGTGTATGTCATTTGTGTGTTTCTGACCCTACTTTGGTTTTCCATTGTATTTAGGATAAAACTTAAACTTTTATGAAATATTCATACTCTGTCCCTCAATGGTCACTCCAATCTCATTTAATTCTTTTCCTTACTATAAGAATTTATCTTCTTTTATTTCCTCAAAAGAGCTAAACCTTTTTCTACTTTGGGGTCTTCATACATGTTATTTCTCTTTTCTGGTGTACTCTTTTTCCCTGATGATCACATGCGTGATTTCTTGCTCAGCAAACTCTCAGCTTAAGTATTGTCTCCTTCCTTTTATTTGCTTAGCATTCTGTAACCACATTGAATTGGATTCTCTCTCATATTTCTTATCACAACTCCTTGTTTTCATCAGAACACTTACTACTGTTTATAATAACCTATTTCTTATTTTGTCATTTGCTATTGAGACTCTTAAATTCCATGAAGGCAGGAACAGTGTCTAACTTGTTCATATTGCATCTCTGAGTACTTTGAGATGCTAGAAAGCTCTAGTGCAGGATCTGACACATGTAGATACTCAAGTATTGAATGGATAAATGGATACATTACAGTTAATTGGTTATCTTAGTGTTAGAGATGAAAATGGTAGATCTAGTTGAAGCTTTTATTGTTGTCGAAATAGAAAGGAAATTTACTTAGAGTGCCTTAGTTAATTTTCTGACAGCCTCAGAAATCAAATAGGTCACTAGATAATAGAGAAAGCTGTGGACCAAAATCTATACAGATAGTAATATAAGTCGGAAGCTATCAAAAAATTGGTTCTATATTAGTATGATGTTGCTTTGCTTTTCCTTTTTTCTTTCTTGAGATGGGATCTCACTGTCATCCAGGCTAGAGTGCAGTGGCCTTGATCATGGCTCACTGAAGTGTTGACTGTCTATGCTCAAATGATCCTTTCAACCCAGCTTCCCAAGTAGCTGGGACCACAGATGTGTGCCACAACTACTGACTAATTTTTAAATTTTTGATAGAGACAAGGTCTTCCTTTGTTGCCCAGGCTGATCTCGAACTTCTGGGTTCAAGAAATCTGCCTGCCTTGGCCTCCCAAAGTGCTGAATTACAGGCATGAGGCACCACCCCATGATGCCCCTTTTGTTTTTTTGCCTCCCTTCTTATTTCTTTGACGTCAGAGATTGAGGGGGATTATCCACATTGTGATTTTGCATTGGGCTAGTCATAGTAATTAAATCAGAGAACTCTTGAAACATAATTAATGAGGTGTACAAAAAAATGGGACATGAATCGGATCAGATGATCATTTTGATTGTAAATCATTTTCTCATACAAGAACAAATACTAGAACTAGGAAATATGTAAAAATTTACTAGTTACTGAGACTGAAGAAAAGTTAGGGGTTATATATACCCATTACTCTTGACTTCAATTATTATGGTCTAATCTGCTATCCATTAATTGTCAAAAACATTTTGTTCTCTACAGCTGAAATATTTAATGAGAACTTTGGGCCAGATTTTCGAGAGGAAGAGACTTTCTTTTCTGTATTCGCCATCTTTTTTCCTGCTGCAACTGGTATTCTGGCTGGAGCAAATATCTCAGGTGATCTTGCGGTAAGTATTATAAAGTGCCATATCAATTATATATTTTAAAAGTGGAATTTGTATATTTATTTTTACAGATAGACTTTAAAAAAATCTTCTTGTCTTTTAGGATCCTCAGTCAGCCATACCTAAAGGAACACTCCTAGCCATTTTAATTACTACACTGGTTTACGTAGGAATTGCAGTATCTGTAGGTAAATGGTTTTATATTTTTTATGTGTTGCAGAAATTTCATGATGTACATACTATAAATATTTATTTTTGTGACATTTGCTAACTTTTAAATTCAGAAATATTTCAGTAAAAGACATGGAGTTGCTTATTATAATTCAAAAACAGTTTTTAGAACTAGTAATGACTTCTGTAGACATCTAAACTACCAAATGCTTTATGGTATCTCCAGGATTTTTATTAATTATGGTAAATTAGAAAATCATGTAAAATTGCATTTATAAACTCTTTCACAAAACTGATACATATTTATCAAAAACAATTCATATGTAGAAGCAAATGAATTTTACAAATATCTAAATTTTTTATAATGGTAATTTTATATGTATATATATATATTTTTTTAATTTTTAAATTTTTTTTTTTTTTTGAGACAGAGTTTCGCTCTTGTTACCCAGGCTGGAGTGTAATGGCGATCTCGGCTCACCGCAACCTCCGCCTCCTGGGTTCAGGCAATTCTCCTGCCTCAGCCTCCTGAGTAGCTCGGATTACGGGCACACGCCACCATGCCCAGCTAATTTTTTGTATTTTTAGTAGAGACGGGGTTTCACCATGTTGACCAGGATGGTCTCGATCTTTTGACCTCGTGATCTACCTGCCTCATCCTCCCAAAGTGCTGGGATTACAGGCGTGAGCCACCGTGCCCGGCCCTATTTTTATACAATATATGAAGATTACTTTAAGGCTCTTAAGCAATGCTTGCTAATTTTTTATTATAAAATCACTGGTTTTAAAGAATAGGACATACTAAGATTTACTTAGGAAAAGTTTTACTAAATTCTTACTAAATTGAATGAAAACAGTTTTAAAATCATGTTATTACTTCATGGATTCATGGTATTTTAGATATTGAAAGGACTTAGGTGGTCAGCCAGTCTCTAATCTTTGTTTTACAGATGAGAGAATAGAAACTTAGAGATTTCACTACCAAAGATAGTGGCATTTGTTTTAGAGAATTGTTTTCATGGCAAAGAAGGTTTTTGTTTATTTGTTTTAAATAAAGGCTTTAATGCTATTTACTATTATTTACCATTAGTTTACATACAGTTTGCATTTGTCAAGTTTTACAGTTAAATTTCTTAAGCATAATGCCAAAGTAAATCTAATTTAATACTAATTTAAAGAATCATAAACTCCAAGCCCATAGACTACACAATATGACAATATGTAGTTTATATTGGATTTGATAAGAGAATTTTATTTTTGCTATATATTCACTGATTTGTTGAAGTCATGACAGAACTGTATTTATAAACTCTGCTGCTATTTGGTTAAATGTAATTTTGAAATTTCACTATGTGACAATATCATGGTGGGCTGAATTGGCCTTTTTTTTTTTTTTTTTTTTTTGAGATGGAGTCTCACTCTGTGTTGCCCAGGCTGCAGTGCAGTGACTCTATCTTGGCTCACTGTAAGCTCCGCCTCCTGGGTTCAAGCAATTCTCATGCCTCAGCCTCCTAAGTAACTGGAATTACAGGCGCCCACTAGCATGCCCTGCTACTTTTTGTATTTTTAGTAGAGATGGAAGTTTCACTGTGTTGGCTAGGCTGGTCTCAAATTCTTGACCTTAGGTGCTCCACCTGCCTCAGCCTCCCAAAGTGCTGGAGTTACAGGTGTGAGACACCAGTCCCAGCCTGAATTGTCATTTAGAAAGGAATTTGGATTTCATTATCCTTGCTATCCATACACAAATCTCTGAAATTTATTTTGAAAAAACAGATGAATATATATTCTTAACAAAACATATGGGTTCCCCTAAAAGTTTCTAGCATGCTTCTATACATTATTAACTGAAGAAAATTTAGTCTTAAAGTGACATAATTATGTTTAAACTTTAAAATAGTTTGTTACAGCAAATAAACATTTTCTATTTTTATTTTACCTTCTAACACTGCTGGCTTTCATACTCATTTCATTCTGTTTACATTAGCCCTTGAAGCAATAGGAGGAACCAACCCCTTGACGCTGATGTTCAATAGCTACGCCAGTAAAGGCAGCCTCTACAGCAGTGGTTGTTTAGCTCAAAGCAATGGAACCTTTTTTCCCCAAAATATTGCAGGTATAGACTATCAGAATACAAAGCACATGAAAGTATAGCTACTTTAGGGCTGCTGGGATTTGCAAGGCTCTATTCTCCCCTCATTCCCCAGTTGTTTCAGAGGTACCTTTATGGAAACATGGTATTGCAAAGGACTGCTCTGAAAGGTAGATGAAATAATTGAAAAATAAAGAACTACATAGTCTGTCTAGTCGTTAGAATATCCTCCCTTCTCATACCTAGTTCTGTTTATTCAATTTTTGCTGTTACACATGTAATTTTTACCTCAATATATGAAGAAATAATATTGTAAAAGTGCTACAGAAAGTAAAAATCTATAAAGTGTAAAGAATGGTAATTACTATTAGTTATATATTACATGTTACTCTGAATAATGAAGTGCTTTTTTCAAAGCCACTTTAAAAATATTTTATTATAGAAGTATTCAATTTTATTGAAAAGTAGGGAGCATTTTCAAATTAGCTCAATAATTATTATTCAGCTTCAAAAATGTTAGCAAAAATATTAGTACATGGTAATCTTGTTCTCTGTACCCAGTCATTCTGCTCTATGGGTCATTTTTAGGCAAATCTCAGATACCATGTGTTTTCTTCTTTTCACTATAATTATATTTGAGGCAAAGATTTAATTATAATTCATTAATATTCAAATTGTTTTCCCTCACAGAAGAGTAATATTACCTGAAGTCTGATTTTAGCTACGTTCAAGTATAAAACATTTGGAGTATAGGAAAACATCACTGCCATTTAGAACTCTTTCAGTACAGTGCTTTCATATTTACTTAAGGGTGTCTTAACCAAATAGGCTAGGAAATAGTTTGTTAATATACCATTTTCCACAATTCTGTTTACATGGTTTTTAAGTATTTATGTGTAAATATTAGTCTTTATAAAAGGTTCAGTTTCCCTAGATATTGGAGACCATGATGCTTTACAAATTCTGTTTAAGGTAAAGTCAATATATGCTACAAGTGAGTACATATGTTGTCAGTGCTTGGGTTTCTTTATAAATATATACGTTTGTAAAATTTTGAAATGAATATAGATATTAACTATATTATTCTTGTCACTTGTGCTTTAGGTTCTTGTGTTGTTCGAGATGCCACTGGAAACGTTAATGACACTATTGTATCAGAGCTAACAAACTGTACTTCTGCAGCCTGCAAATTAAACTTTGATTTTTCATCTTGTGAAAGCAATCCTTGTTCCTATGGCCTAATGAACAACTTCCAGGTGAGCACTGAATTTGTAATATACTGACATTCTGTACTTACCTAGGGATGAGACTATTAGCAAATCTGACCATTCAGAATATAGCTGTAACATAGAAGGGAGGATGGTTGTTACTTTTATTAAAAAATTTTTTCTTGAGAGACAGTCTCACTCTGTTGCCTAGGCTGTAGTGCAGTGGTGCTATTTTGGCTCACTGCAACCTCTGCCTCCCAGGTTCAGATGATTCTCCTTTCTCAGCCTTCTGAGTAGCTGAGACTGCAGGTGCCCACCACCATGCCCGGCTAATTTTTGTATTTTTAGTAAGGATGGGTTTCACCATGTTGGCTAGGCTGGTCTCAAACTCCTGACCTCGATTGATCCAACCCATCTCAGCCTCCCAAAGTGCTGGGATTGTAGGCATGAGCCACTGTGCCTGACCAGTTGTTCCTTATATCCCCTAAGACTGTAGAGATCTAATTGGGCAAACAGAAAAATATGAATGGATAAAAATCTGAGGCTGTTCAAGAGTAAAGAGCTCTTGGGAGGTAATGCTTTTATATAACAGAATATAATATATATACATTAGTGTGTGTGTATTTATATATATGTAGTATATAAGTATACTGCTTTAGAAAGCATGGAAGCATTTGCACGTGGTTATATTTGTATGGGTCTGTTTTTGGATTCTTGATTCTGTCCTGTTGATCTTTGTGTCTGTCCTTCAGCCAGTACCACACATTCTTAATTAATCTAGTTAATTGTTAAATGTTGAGGTCAGGTAGGTTTATTCCTCGCATTTTATCCTTTTTAAAAAATTGTTTTAGCTATTTTAGTTTCTTGGTCTTCCCATATAAAAATTTGAAATAACCTTATTTAATTTTGTGTGCACTTTATTTACTTTTTAATGTATTTTTTTTCACTTCAGTAGTTTTTAGGATACAAGTGGTTTGTGTTGTGGTGAAGTCTGAGATTTTGGTGCACCTATCACCCAAGTACCTTACATTTATTTTTAAAAAGTCTTGTTGAGATTTTGATAGGATTACGTTAAACTATGTTGAGTATTCAATTTACAAAGATCGTTTCTCCATTTATTTGTATTCTCTTTGATTTTTTTTATCAGCATTTTGTAGTTTTCAGCATACATGTCCTGTATGTATTTTGTTAGATTTTAGATTTATGACTAAGTATTTTTGTTAGATTTATGACTAAGTATTTTTATTTTGTGCAATTTAAATCCATACCAATTGAAATGAGTTCAGTTTCTACTTAGTATTGTCTTCGTAATTGCTTTGTATATAAATAGTCTTTTAAAAAGTATTGATCAATATCAATAGTAGTGTTATTTAATTAGATATGGCTCATATAAAGTCATGCAACATGAAATCACCATTTAACATTTAACAACAAAATTTAATTCTGAATGGATACTTGAAAGCTAGTCCATTTCTAAAACATACAAACTGGACAGGTTAATAATAGTACTTCTCAGTTTTGAGGCTCAGTCAGTTCTGCTGTTAACTGTTACCTCCTTTAAGGTACTAAAAATGAAATGAACTTTTAATGTCAGATTTATGGGTTTTTAGAAACTGAGAAAAGATTATACAAGGGGAAAATAAATTACTAAAATTAATTTAGGGGATAATTTTGAGTTGTTTGCTAAGTCCTAGGCTGGTAGAAAGAACACAAAGGTATAGATTCAGGAGATTAAATCAAAGTATTCTATAGTAAATTTCTAGAGTACATAGTTCTGCTGATTTCAAAAGAAAGATAAAATTTTTGCTTTGTAATTTTTTTCAGTATTGTATGAACAGAATAATTTTGATTTTAATGTATTTAAAATTCTATATGTGTTTTATATAAAATCTGTAAATTTTACAATACAGTTTTTAATTAAAATTTGTAAAGGCATTGCTTTTATTTTCTATTGCATAGTTGTAAGCAATTGACTGCACTTTCAGTGGTTACAAATATTGAACCCAATTATGTAATAGAAGTTTGTGTTTTCTAGTCATAAGACTAGGCAAAATTGTAGAAATGAAAGAAAGTATTCATGTCCAGCTAATGATTCAGGCCAATTCTGACATTGATATTGTGTATAGAAGGCACAAACATTGGTCTTTGCCCAGTGACTGAAAATGCCGGTCAGATTTCTGTGTGACCTTAAGATAGAAAAGTTTGTTGTCTTAATCAAGTCTAGTTATGGACTCATTCAAGCAAAGAGAAATTTTGAATAAGTTAAGCTTCTTTTCTAAATTAAGTAATTTTTTTCAAAAATACTTTGTAAAGCGATATAACATGAGGGAAGATCTTGTGAAATATAAATACCTTGGCATTTGGAGTATAAAGAATGGTGGATAGGACATAACTGAGGAGTGTGTAAGTTGTAGTCTCCATCATAAGATCTATACAAGCCATACATACTTCAGGGAATAAAGTGATTTGGGTCATCTTGTTGCTCTTAAATTTTACATTGTGTATATAGTCTTAATTGCTTGCTGTATTTCTACATTTTAATGTCCTCTGAAACCTTTGACTCACTGTTGCCTAATAAACAAAATGCGAGTTTGAGTCTTATCAGTCAGAGCCCTTTCATATCTCATCCTGAGCCCTACTGCCTTCTACTCCAACTAGACTCCAGGCACTGAATAGGTGTGTACACGTACACATGCATACCCTACTCTCTTTTTTTTAGTCAGTTCTTCACTCTGCTTGGAATGCACCTGCGGTTTATTTTTCTATGTCCAGATCTGCCTGACTTCAAGGCAACTCAGTTCCATGAAGATTTCTTGAATCCCAAATCATCTTCAATACACACCCCCACATAGACCTTTACTATTCATTTTGTTTACTTGCTGTCTTTTAGCTTTTATTAGACTTTTGTCCCTTTTCCCCCCTTTAAAGACAAAACCATCTTTTTAAATCTCTGTTTCCACTAAATATTGTTGACAATATCATTATTTTTACATTCAAATATCATTATCCTTGCTCATATTTTACCATTAAATATTGAGAAGTTCAGAGGTTATTGGGTAACTGTTCAACTATTTAATAGAAAACAGGAAACCTATTACAGCAGGTCCCAAAGCATAGTATTTCCAGATGAAAAGCATGGATTATTATTTACTTCATTTTATAACTGATAGAAGAAGGGAAAATGTATTGTTTCCTCAACATGGAAGAGGAAAGCTTATAGTAAATGCTGATGGTGTCAGTTTTGCCTTACTCCCACAGTGTAAAATGTATCATATACTCTGTTCTCCACATTTTTCCACTTATCTCTTTCTGTCTTTGTACTTAATTTAACTTTGAGATCATGACAGACAGAGGTAGAATTTTGTACGATCTAATAAGGCTGTATAGCAGAAATTGGGCTTATTCATTTTGATTTTGTCTCACCTTATCTGTCCTTTACAGTCTCCTTCCCTAACAATAAGGTTGTCAGTGCTAAATAATCCAGCATTAATTACCATGAAAAATAGTGATTATTAAAAATGCACAGCATATATGTCACTACTAAATTATGATTAAAGGGCTGAGTAGCAAATAATCTTTTCAGATTTTTCTCCCCATTCTTCTCAGAAGTCTATGCTAATGTTTTTAAAACACTTAAGAGATGTATTCTTCATATTTAACCTTAAATCTAATGGAAGATCTAGAGAAAGATGTTTAGTCAATGGGGTGGTTTATGTATAGGTGAAATCAGGCTTATGCATTGTGGACAGGGATTGTGCCCATTGCTAACTTTCCATTTGGTTTAAACAATTAAATGTTACAGCCAAGTGTGTAATAGAAACAGCTCAAAACCTGATTTCCTTATCCTTTTGGTCTCAGTTGACATGTTCTTAATATAAATGAAAGGTAAAATCTTCACCAACGAAGCATAGAATCTGGGTGTGATTATCACCGTTCACTGCTGGGAAATTAATACCATTCACAGCTGTTCAAGTTGACAGGAGTTGCATCCATCATACAACTCCACTTTAATTTCTTGTTTTGGCAAGTTTCATTGACTCGGAAGTACACAGTAAATACCTGTGTACTTATCTTTCAGTTATATTTACTAGTTTATATTTTACTCCGTTTGTGTGTGTATATATGTAGTCTTTTTCTCCTCAAATAAGTTATAGACATCATGGCATGACAATCGTTTTGAAGTGTTTAACACATTTTGTGTAAGCACAATATGGTTATCCCACTTAAGAAATTAAATATTGATGAAATACTGTTATTTAAATATATATCCTATATTCATATTTCTCCACTTGTCCCTTTATAGCTTTTATTTCTAAGTCCAAGATTCATCCAGGATCACACATGGCATTTAGTTATGTCATTTTAAAATCTTTTAATCTAGGGGTTTCTAGCCCACATTAATCTTCATGACATTGACATTTTCAACATTTGAACCAGGTTATTTTGAATTGTGCCCCTCAATTTGGATTTACCTGATTCATGATCTTAGTGATCAATCCTTTGTTGTTGTTGTTTAAAGTTTTTTAAGAGGGAAATATTTGAACATGTATACAGAGAAAGCAACAAAATATACCTAATATCTACATTCCCCAGCTTTATCAATTATCAGTGCATGGTTAATTTTGTTTCATGTGTAACTCCTCCCATCCTAGATCATTTAGAGTGAAACTCTAGACTTTATATCATATCCTTTTAGCTGGAAATATTTCTGTATTTAGCTCTAAAAGATAAAGGCTTAAAAAAAAAAAACAGAACCACGATACTATCTTAACAGCATAAGAAACAGACTTCTTAATAGAAATGCATGAAGCCATTTATGCAATAGTCTTGCAAAACTTGTACCTCATTTTGATTAACTGTCTAGATAGAACTGCCAGTTTACTAGAATTACAGAAATGAGAAGAGGTTAAGCAACACAATGATGATGAAGTCGGAAAAATCGAGTGTGAGATCTCCATGGGAGAAATGATATAAAAATAATAAAAGGAAAATGTGAGCCTGTTGATTGAAAAAGACTGAAGAAACACATAAACCAAATATAATGTGTAACCTTTTTTTTTTTTTTTTAGATTCTGATTTGAACAGACTATTTTTAAAAGATAAGAAAGGATAATTTAGGGAATTTGAGTGCTGACTTGCTTTTTTGTGGTATTGTTAAGCAACTATTAAGTTTTTAAGCTATAATAGTGGCATTGTAGTTAGTTTTCAAAAGTCCTTACCTGTTAGAGATATATACTGAAATATTTGTGTGTTAAAGCATATCTGGGACTTGTTTCAAAATATTGTGGGGAATGGCCCTAAGTTGATCATTGTTGAAACTAGGTGTTGGATGCTAGCAGTTCATTAAACTCCTCTCTATCATTGTGTGTGTTTGACATTTTACAAATGAAAAGGTTTTCTTAAGGTAAGGGCTACTGGTAAATCTGCTTCAGATATTCGTAATGCACATACCATTGTTGTTGTTACTGATTATTATAAAATTATCCCAAGTGTTAACCTTGTTCAAGATGTGACCACATAATATTGTGTTCTTTTCTGAATTGTTTGTGAGATTTATTTTTCCATTTTTGTCACTTTTATTTAAGGTAATGAGCATGGTGTCAGGATTTGCACCATTAATTTCTGCAGGTATCTTTTCAGCCACTCTTTCTTCCGCATTAGCATCCCTTGTGAGTGCTCCCAAAATATTTCAGGTAAGTATTTTTATATTACAGGCTTTATTAAAGGGAGGGTTAAAGTAATACTTCTCAATTTAGAATTGTTGCTATTTTCAAATTATTTGCTTCTGTCAAAAATATTTATGTATATAAATATATATGCACACACATTAAGACATACATAATGTATTTGTATGAATGGATGTAAATATGTTTATTTATATAAACATTTCTGCATTTGCCTGCTGTCAAAGTATAGTCTTCGAGTTGTCTTTTTAAAAGTGCTGATGGATTTTTGCGTTTTTGAAAATATTTAGCATATATTTTCGAGACGTCTTACTAAGGTATAGGAGTGCAGTCTAAGACTGCAAATCAGAAGTAGTAAAACATCTTTGTTCCAGTCAGTATGATGTCAACCTAAATATTTTACTTTACAAATATTTAAATATCTAACACGTGCTACACATTGTGTTCATTATTTAAGGGTATAAAGACGAATAGGATACACATTATCTCCTTTTAGTGAACATTAAACAGCTGAATACTGATGGAAGTATGTTTTATTACTAAATCAAATAAATGAATGTTGATTCTGCAGTCTTGTTCTTAATGCATTATTTGTAGCCAGTAAATATTGCAAGGTAGAGAATATTATTTAAGGCAGTGTTCAGTTATGTTTTAAGAAAGGTAGTTAAGTTTTATAATCAGGATTTTTATCAGCTTTAAGATTTGGGCTTGTTCTTCTTAAAATAGGTCACAACTATATCATATTTTTCAAGCTTCCAAATTTGTTTTTACTCGTATGCCTGCTTCTCTGATTTCTTCTTCATAAAATTTAATTTCAACATGGTGGTGGGGTAAGGCAGATAGAAGTTTCTACCAGTATCCTTCTGATGTTTGAAATGTTTGAATTCCCTTTACATTTTGTAGGTGAAGCAGTATGTGCAACAGGATAAAAAAAACGACGAGAATTAGAAAACTCGAGTCTCATTCCTGATTAACCTATTAGAATTATCAGCAAATCTGTATGTCTAATTTTAATATATTTTATTTTAATGTTTTCTTTCATTAGGCTTTATGTAAGGACAACATCTACCCAGCTTTCCAGATGTTTGCTAAAGGTTATGGGAAAAATAATGAACCTCTTCGTGGCTACATCCTAACATTCTTAATTGCACTTGGATTCATCTTAATTGGTTAGTTATATATATGGTGTGTTATTGTACAATGATTTTTGGTGGATATATATTATTCTTGACATTGAATTATTAAATTAGTAACAGTGTTCTCTTGTTATACTAAGTCTATTTGTAATCAAAGAAAGTTTATAAAGGACTGTAAGTAACAGCACTCAGTACATATTTGCTGAAATTATTGCCATTACTAAGTCCTCATTAGAGCTAAAGGGAAATCCTATGTTCTTTTTCCTAAAATAAATATGATAATGGCATAAGAAAGAGGATTCCAGTGTCCCTTGTGACATCAGTGCCTTTGATGATCTATTTTTTGGCTCTTTTGCTTCTGATCACAAGTGAGCTCTGATGGGTCTTCCACTGCTAAAGAAGACATTGGACTTTTTACTTTTTAAAGAATTTTGTCTAATCCCTGAGACCAGTTAACATTAAAAGGCTGATGTACCACCAAGTGTTGTGGGACTATGTGGAAACTAACTTTCATGTGATGCTGTTAGATGTGTATTTGGTGTAGCCACTTTTGGAGAACAAGTGGGCAATATCTTGTAAACTTTCCTGTGATCCAGCAGTTTTCCTTCTAGATATGTACCCTATAGAAACTTGTATATATTAAAGAGCCATATACAATAATGTTTCTAGGATCATTCATTATAGTGAAAAATGAAAGCAACCTAGATCAATTGAAGAATAATATGGAGCCATAAAAAAAGGAATAAACTTGGTTTTCATATATCAATATGGACAAATTTCAAAAGTAAATGTAAAAGATCAGATTGCAGAATTATACGTATACTATATTATTTATATAACTTAAAATACCCAGAACAGTACTGTATGATGCATATAGACTATACATGTGTCATAAAACTAATATGACTGGACAGAGTATACCAAGTTTGAAGAAGTGTGAGATAAAGTATAAAGGAGATTTCAATGGTTTGCTTAGGATTGGATTTCTGAAAAGTGAAGTGTATGAGGCATATATGGCAAAATGTAAATGTTTATGAAATCTGGATGGTAGTTATAGGGGTGTTATGTTGTTATCTGAAGATTTGAAATACTTTGTAATTTTAAAAAGATAAATGTCTAATACATCAATAAATCTTTCTGCATGTGTTTCTTTTGCAGCTGAGCTGAATGTTATCGCTCCAATTATCTCAAACTTTTTCCTTGCATCATATGCATTGATCAATTTTTCAGTATTCCATGCATCACTTGCAAAATCTCCAGGTAATTTTACACTTTTTTTTAAAGTTTGTAAATATTTTTTATTTCAAAGAAAATAAAACTTTTGCCACATTTTAAAAGATGGTATGTGTGGGATTAGTTCATTAATGCTAAGTCTGCCTTTATAGTTAATTCAAATTAGGTCTTCAAAGATCTCTTTATCAATAAGTTTACTGATAATATTGTTCCTTCAAAGTGTTTGACAGTAAATCTCTAATTCTGATAACACTGAAAAAATGTTATTTTCAAAACTGGTTTTTCATTCTTTAGCTGATGTCTATTTTAGTTCTAAGAACATCATTAAGATATGGTTTACCTGTATGAAAATGGTTTTAACACAGTGAGTTCGGTAAAATTCTGACATAAGGGATCTCTGTCAACTGAAAATTTATGAGATTTTTCTTATAAACTGTTACTACCATTGCAAATCAGGAAAGGAACTGAAGAAACAAAAGCATTGTTCCTTCTAAAGATTTGAAAGTCTGAGAACAGGTAAGATAAAGTGTGAGAACTTTGGACACAAATATTCTAGCATCAGGTTTTTACTTTAAATATATCAATTTTATTGAAATGATTTTTAAGAATCATTTTGGCTTTGGAACTATCTACCAATGAAAATTTAAAAACATGGTCTTCAACGTTTTCTAAAGTGGTCTTGCTTCATGAATACTTCACTAAATGGGAAGGTATGTGTTTCTGTAGTCAGCTTTTAGTTTTTCTAGCAAGTTGATTATTTTTAATGATTTTTATGAACATTTGGTTTGAAATTTTTTATATATTCATTAGATCATGAATATGAATCATCCTGAAACCAGAAAATAAAGCCATGCTACTAAGGATTCAATTTGAAACCTTTCTTTTTTTTTTTTTTTTTTTTTGAGACGGAGTCTTGCTGTGTTGCCAGGCTGGAGTGTAGTGGCGAAATCTCGGCTCACTACAGCCTCCACCTCTCAGGTTCAGGCCATTCTCCTGCCTCAGCCTCCCAAGTAGCTGGGACCATACCACCATGCCCAGCTAAGTTTTGTATTTTTAGTAGAGACAGGGTTTCACCATGTTGGCCAGGATGGTCCCCATATCTTGACTTTGTGATCCACCCGCCTCAGCCTCCCAAAGTGCTGTGATTACAGGCGTGAGCCACTGTGTCCAGCCCTGATTCCTTTCTTTTTAAAATCTTCTGTAATTTTTAGTATTCACCTAACATAGTATGATTTACTTTTTTTTAATAAAGAGTTTATTGAATACAGAACTAGTAAGATACAGGAATGTGGAAATAGATGTTACCTTTTCATAGCCATCAAGAATTGTCAAATTCAATTGTGATCAATAAAAGTCTTTGACTTTGCTATTCAATACTAGACTTTTAATTAATGCTTAAAGTTCTCTCAGTGTGGCAGCCATAAAGACTGTTATTTTTTGAATACATATGTACCATTGAGTAAAGCAGATGAGATATTCGAGTGACTTTTATTTATTGTTTGTTATTGTTAGGATGGCGTCCTGCATTCAAATACTACAACATGTGGATATCACTTATTGGAGCAATTCTCTGTTGCATAGTAATGTTTGTCATTAACTGGTGGGCTGCACTGCTAACATATGTGATAGTCCTTGGGCTGTATATTTATGTTACCTACAAAAAACCAGGTCAGTAGCCTTTTTTCTTTGTATCCCAGGCTGGAAACATCTTGAAGTTTTTTGTTATTTTTCATCTTAAGCATCATCTTTTGTATATTTGAAAGCTACTTTGTATAAAACCTAAGATACTTTATTTCCAAAGTCTTAAAGTATTATATAATTTTTTTCAAATACATGTAGTTTTAATGAAAAAATTATTGAGTTTTTTTATTCTTATCCTTTCCATTTTTACTCATAAGTTAAATTGATCCTATTTGTAGAAAAATAAATTTATATAATTAACATTTTGCTGCACTCCATATGTTTAAAAATTATTTTTTGAAAGGATTCAGTTACAGTATATTAGTTGTATAGCCTAGTAAGCTAGGCTATTTATGCATATAACCTACTGTGGTCTCAGAACTATAGTGAGTACCATGGAGTTAACAAAATACTAGAAGACATAGTATCTTTCCACTACACATAGGTTACTGTGTAGTGGGGGAAATTGGACAAACTTGTTTTACTGGGAAATGATTAATGATTTCTAGTGTGTTGTATTGATAACAGCTAGGTGTATCTCCATGTAAGATGATGATGCTAGAGTATGTTGGGATAGGTCCTGGTATTTTAGCATTGTAACCTGTGACACAAGAGAGACCTGATGAGAATATAGTAGTTTCAAACAGTGAAAACACATTTTGTAATCCAGATATGAATTGATGAGCTTTTAGATTAAAGTGATAGCTCTAGAAATAAAGGAACCATTTTAGAAGCAGTTATTTCTCTAACATACCTATTAAGTCTATCAAAAATGTCTAAAATCATTTGATGTCCAAGTTGTTTATGCAATAAAAAAAAATTTCCTGTACAAATAATCCAAATAGTTAAGTACTATAACTATTTCTCAACAATTAGAAATTTGCTCATTTTTCTTTAGACCTTTGGCTCTACAAACAATAATTTTAATGTATTTACTTTATTTGTGAAAGACTCTTTAGAGTTGTATGCACAGCATATCTGCAGCCCTATCATCTCAGTGTTTTCTAAGTTATACTTTTTCTTTAAATGAATTACAGTTCAGATTACCAGTCTTAATATCTTGCTGTATATGTAAACTATTGAAAGTACAATAGTGTATTTCAGCAATTGACTTTTTAAATGTGAAAGCATGTTTAATTCACTGTGCCTCAGATTGGCTGTTGATTGGTTGTTATTACTGATGTTAATGCTGCATGAACATGATCTTCCCACAGATGTGAATTGGGGATCCTCTACACAAGCCCTGACTTACCTGAGTGCACTGCAGCATTCAATTCGTCTTTCTGGAGTGGAAGACCATGTGAAAAACTTCAGGTACGTGATAAAGAAGGAAGCATGGAAGCATTTTCTCTTTGCTGGCCGGTCAGTTCTTATTTTTCAGTGACATTTTCATATACATTTCACATTTTTAGTTGGACTTGGACAGTTAAGTTATTCAAAAACAAAATTGTACGAAGAAAAAAATTAACATCTACCTTAAAAAATGTTTTCAGTGTTTTGGAGGTTTCTCACTTGAAGACTTTTAAACGATAGGTATCATAAAGTCAAATTTTATTTTCTCCATGGCCATCAAAGTTATTTAACTGTATAAATTTGAGATTCATACAGATTTTTTGACATGCCTTGTTATAATAAAGAGCATTTGTTACTATTTTCCTCAGTAAATGACTTTAAGAATATATTGTCTTTTTGGCTGGGTATGGTGGCTTATGCCTGTAATTCCAGCACTTTGGGAGGCTGAGGTGGGGGCACTACTTGAGGTCAGGAGTTTGAGACCAGCCTGGCCAACATGGTGAAACCCTGTCTCTACTAAAAATACAAAAATTAGCCGGGCATGGTGGCACATGCCTGTAGTCCTAGCTACTTGGGAGGCTGAGGCAGGAAAATGGCTTGAACTCAGGAGGCGAAGGTTGCAGTGAGCCAAGATCATGCCACTGCACTCCAGCCTGGGTGATAGTGCGAGACTCTGTCTCAAAAAACAAAAAAGGAAGATTTTATATTTCTAATAGTTTATTAATCATCAGTATAAACTTTAGTCATGAATAATCCCTCCTTACTGGTTTCTGCATGATAAACACAAATCTTTTCCATTTTTGTCTGTGAACCAAAAGGGAAAATAATGTTTTTAAAGAAACCCTGAAAAGTAGGTAAGTGTCAGAAGAGAAGTAATCTACCAAATCTCTACCAGCAAGAAAAGTCATTGTGTATTTTTTTGTTACTCGTTCGAATTCTCTCCTTCCTTTTTGCTAGAATAAAAAGTTCTCAGAGACCACATGCAGGTTTTCAGCCTTAGAGTAGACAGAAATGGAGAGAGAAGGAGGAATGAGAGCCCTGGGGGAAAAACTTTTCATTTCAGTGTATTTTGGATAGTGATGTCAAGAATGAAAGAAAATAGAAATTATTCATTTATGTAAAAAGTTGGATCCTAGAACTGAGAGTATGACTAAGAGTCTTATGTTTATTTGCCATAAATTTAAAAAAACCTGTTGCTTTGGCTCATTGTCCTAATGGCAACATTAAAAAAAAATATTATTGGGTGTGGTGGCTCATGCCTGCAATCCCATCATTTTGGGAGGCTGAGGCAGGGGATCACTTGAGCCCAGGAGTTGGAGACCAGCAGTTCGAGACCAGGCTAGTCAATATAATGAGATCTTGTTTTCACCAAAAATGTGAAAGATAGCCAGGTATGAGGGTGCATGCCTGTGGTTCAGAGACTAAGGCTGAAGATTCACTTGAACCTAGGAGGTCAAGGTTATAGTGAGCCATGATTGCTTCACTACATGCTAGCCTATGCAACAGTGAGACCCTGTCTAAAAAATAAAATAAATAAAAATAAATTATCCCAATTTGGCTTTTTAAATTTTTATCAGAATTATATGTGAATATTGTGTAAAGAGGAAAAGCTAGTCTCCAAGGTTTGTCATGAAAATCAGTAGTTGCCTGCTCCTCATATCCCTCTTTCTCTTGCAATCACAGGTAACCACTTTATTTACTTCATAAATACCATGTTTTTCTTGCTGCACAATAGTCCCCTGTTATCCACAGGGGTTGTATTCCTCAGTGGATAACTGGAACTACAGAGAGTACTGAACTTGATCGTCATGGGTCAGAACACCTTTTTGTTGTTGTTCATGTCTTCTACCTTTGAAGTTAGTGTCTTTTTCATCTTAACTAAGCCCTTCTCACACATTACAGCTGTAACTTTTACAGTTTGAAGTGCAACAGCAAAACTAGCTGAATTTCTTTTTCCTTCCTTATGATTTCACAGAAGATTCATTTTCTTTATGTAGATTTTAGTAGCCTCTGTATATGATTTTTTTTCTTCCCTTTTTAAGAACTTCCACCTTTTCACTTAAAGGAAGCATTTTACAGTTTTTCTTGGCATATTCAAATTGCCAGCATCACTACTCTTGTTCTTTGAGGTCACTGTTAAGTAAAATAAGAGTTGCTTCAACATGAGCACTGCAATACGTAGCAGTCGACCTGATAACCGGGACAGCTATTGAGCAGGCAGTGTCTGTAGCACGAAGATGCTGGATAAATGGAGAATTTATGGCCCAGGCTGGATGGAGCCAGATGTTGCAAAATTTCACCACAGTACTCAGGATGATGCATAATTTAAAACTTATGAATTGTTTATTTATGGAATGTTCTGTATTCTGAAACAATGGAAAACAAAGCTTCAGATAATGGAGAACTGTTCCTTTTTTATTTTTAATTTTGGTCATCATCTATTGATGTCTTTCATCTACATATGCCCACCACATCCATGCATTTTTACCTTTATATCCCATTCTCCCATTACATTTTATATTATGATTTTGATGAGATATTTGGTATTTATATTTTTATGACTTTAAACATGCTGTGCAGCTGAGCCATATAGTAAATTATTGTTTTTTCTTTGCTACATAGCTTTCTTGATTTCCCTGAAACTAATATTTTTTTTTCTTACTTAACTATATTTAACCTTCACCAAACTTGGCCAAAAGATTTTTGTTTTCTTCACTTTGTAGTTTCTTACTGTTTCCTGTTTTTCTTAATATGGATTTTTGGATTTTGCCTTGTCTGAAATGAAGTATCTTTAATACTTGGCATTGGTGAGTGGACCTTGTCAATTGAAGACCTTAATGTAGAGTAATGTGGCTTTGCTGGTTCTTTGAGGAATGTAAAAATATCTTAAAAGCTTTCTTTTTGATCTGATTAGATTTTCCAAAAAAGATTCTTTTAATCTTCAGCTTGTAGGTAAAGAGTTCTGGGAGCCAAGTGGGGAAGGAGCTTGAAGGTTTCAGGGTTCAGTATATACTTGTTCTTTAAACTCTTCTGTCAAAAGTAGCTGACTTCCGCCCCCAGCTGTTGCTGGTGACTCCCAGACCAGGGGCAAATAAGCCCCAGCTTAGTAGGGTTGGGGAGGTATAGGAACAGTGGCCTGTCACAGTTATGGAAATGATTAGATCCACCTAGTAATTTCTTGTGTAAACTTTTAACACACTGTTGCTGCCACCTCCAGAAGGCCTACTGTTCCTAACTCCTAGGCGTTTTGGTGATTTTTAGATGTAAAATTAGGTAGTTTCATGGCTTTTTCATGCACTTTTCAGACTTCACTTTTTCCTGATTTTTCAAATCCTTTACTTTTCTTCCAGTTCCTTTTCTAGCTTTTGATACTTCAATGCTATTGTACTCTAGATATTTTTGTGGTTTGTACCTTTAAAAAAAATCTCTATATGTCATGGAGAGTTTTGAGAAAGAAGTTAAAATCAAGTCAGATACTGACTCTGCTGTTTTTACTCAAAGTCATCCCTAACAGACTGTACTGTACCATTTTGGACATGATAAAACAGTACCAAATTATATCTTTGTTGTTTATTATTTAGTAAAGGTAGGGGACACAGGTTAATTTCCCATAGTAACAGGTTCTATTAGTTAAGGTATAGGTTTAACTACTGTAACAAAAAGACTGAAAAATACAGAGGCTCAAATAAGAAAGGCATTGGTGTCACGTGGTAGTCCAGAAGTAGATAAATGGTTCATGGCAGGTAAGCAGATTTGCTGCACTTTGGTCACTCAGGACCCACATTCCTTATCAGTCTGCCATTTCTAGCTGCTTTTGTCCATGTGGTCAAAGTCATTACTGCATCTATAGCCTGGCTTTCTGGAAAGGGGGAAGAATGTATGGAGGCAGCACAGCTGCCTTTTTTAAAGGACATGCCCTGGAAATAGGAACATCTTATGAGCTATATTTTAGTCACTGGGCCACATTTAGCTCCTAGGAAGGCTAGGAAAGGTACTCTCTGGCTAAGGACTCATGTAACTTGCTAAAGCTCAGAAAGTCTGGGGCATGATTTCATGTTTGATTGCCTCAAAGCAACTCTCCCAGACAGTTGCTTTTCCAGCTTGTTTGCCAAAATTCTAAATCAGATGGTATTTTTTGAAAAGTTATTATTTAGGTTTTTATGCTCATTTTAAAGACTCATCTAAAAGTTAATGTTTAAGTCAGAAATTATAGTCTACAATTCACTTTCTGTTGAAGTTTATTTTGATTATATAAATCCTTGTCTTAAAGAATTTTTGCCAACCTACTTGGACCTATCAAATGGAGACCTGTGTATTTTTTTCATTAAACATCATTGATTTCCACTTCTAGTCAGTGGAAATCAAGAGTTACAAATATATGAAAGACATGCCACTGTCTCATGTTTGTAAAGGCAATTGAATTCAATTTTGGCTTTTGTCGTTGTTAACCAGAATTAAAAATTTTAGTTCAAATAGAAATCTTTTTTTCACCATAGGTGATATTACTCTTGTGACAAGTCATTAATGTTAAGCTAGATTAAAGAGGACTGATATCATGAAGTAGAAGTAATTATGAAATGATCAAGCTAAGAAGGAAAGTGACCTGTTTTGTATATGAAGGCAAAGCTGTGCCCTTAGGAAGTTTCACAAACTGTGAAATACAGAATATTTCTTATCTTCAGAAAATGAAAAATTGTTGCAGTTTTTTTTTTCATTTCTTTTTTTTAGAGACAAGGTTTCACCATATTGGCCAGGCTGGTCTCAAACTCTTGACCTTGTGATCCGCCTGCTTGGCCTCCCAAAGTGCTGGAATTAGAGGCATGAGCCACTGCGCCTGACCTACATGGATATATATATATATACATATACATATATATACACACACACACACACACACACACACACATACATATATACATATACATATATATATACACATACATATACTTTTTTTTTAAACTAGCATGGTAATATCTTTCTATAATACCTACCAGAATCTTGATGTATAATATTACCTATTATTTTAGAGGGACATTTGACATGATGTTTGTTCCAAGATTTTGTTTCTGTATTTCTCATGTACCAAGAAAGCCTGGTTACAAATGATTTGAGAATTCTGCGGCCTGTATCTTAAGGACAGTTGTATACAGAAAACTACTTAGAGAAACAACCTAAAACTCATGTTCTTGTTGCCAGAATCACAAATTTATCTAATTTTGTCTTTTATCTTAAATTAGGCCACAATGTCTTGTTATGACAGGTGCTCCAAACTCACGTCCAGCTCTACTTCATCTTGTTCATGATTTCACAAAAAATGTTGGTTTAATGATCTGTGGCCATGTACATATGGTAAGTTTTTTTAATTCTTTTTCAAAATATTTTTTTTTTTTTCCAAAATTTTTTAAAGTTTTATTTTAGGTTCAGGGGTTCATGTGCAGGTTTGTTATATAGCTAAATTGTGTGCCACAGGAGTTCGGTGTACAGACTGTTTATCACCCAGGTAATAAGCATAGTACCTGATAGGTAGTTTTTTGATCCTCACTCTCCTCCTGCCCAGTAGTCTCAAGTAGGCCCCAGTGTCTGTTATTCCCTTTTTTATATCCATATGTACTTAATGTTTAGCTCCCACTTATAAGTGCAAACAGGTGGTATTTTGTTTTGTGTTCTTGTGCTAGTTCACTTAGGATAATACCTTCTAGCTCCAGCCATGTTTCTGCAAAGGATGTAATCTCATTCTTTTTTATGGTTGCATAATATTCCATGGTATTATATGTGTCACATTTTTTTTTCCACATTTTTTTGATGGACATTTAGGTTGATTCCATGTCTTTGGTACTGTGAATAATGCTGCAATGAAAATATACATGCCTGTGTCTTTATGGCAGAACAATTTATGTTCCTTTGGATATATACCCACTAATGGGATTGCTGGGTCAAATGGTAGTTCTGCTTTGAGTTCTTTGAAAAAGCTGAACTGCTTTCCACAGTAATTTACATTCCTACCAGCAGTGTATAAGTGTTTTCTTTTCTCTACAACCTCACCAGCATCTGTTGTTGTTTTGACTTTTTAATAATTGCCATTCTGACAGGTGTGAAATAATATTTTATAATAAAACTTTTTTTAGTCTGTATATAATTTGTAATTTATAGGGCTTTCTAGATTGGAAATAATTTGACAAGCAAATCTGTTTTTTTTTTTTTTTCAGGTAGTTGTTTTCTTCAAAATATTTTTGCCCCTAAATGGGCTCAAAGTAGCATTTTAAAAAAATATTACATTTTGAGCTCACATTGTTTTTCTTATTCATTATGAGTAGATTTTAACAAACTCTATTGTCATTGTAGAGCGATTTGGCTTTTTGATACCTATGGAGTCAAAATTCACTGTTATTTTTCTCATTAATGTGTCTGAAACTGGACCCCTTCCTTAAGCGCTCCATATTTTTAGGTCTCAGAAATAATGCCACACATCTGCAACCATTTGGTCTTTGACAAACCTGACAAAAACAAGTAATGGGGAAAGGTTTCCCTATTTAATAGTGTTGGGAAAACTGGCTAGCCATATGCAGAAAACTGAAACCATCCCTATCTTATACCTTATACAAAAATTAACTCAAGATGGATTAAAGACTTAAGTGTAAGACCTAAAACTGTAAAGAACCCTAGAAGGAAACCTAGGCAATACCATTCAGGACATAGGCATGGGCAAAGACTTCATGACTAAATACCAAAAGCAATGACAACAAAAGCCACAATTAACAACTGGGATGTAATTAAACTAAAGAGCTTCTTCACAGCAAAAGAAACTATCATCAGAGTCGACAGGTAAATTACAGAATGGGAGAAAATTTTTGTAAGCTGTCCATCTGACAGAGGGCTAATATCCATAATCTATAACTTATATCTGAAGATGGACCCTTTCCTTATACCTTATACAAGTTACTTAAACAAATTTACATGAAAAAAAAACATCAAAAAGTAAGTGAAGGATATGAGCAGACACTTGTCGAAAGAAGACATGTATGTGACCAACAAACATGAAAAAAAGCTCATCATCACTGGTTGTTAGAGAAATTCAAATCAAAACCCCAATGAGATACCATCTCATGCCAGTTAGAATGGCAATCATTAAAAAGTCAGGAGACAACAGATGCTGGAGAGAATATGGAGAAATAGGAACACTTTTACACTGTTGGTGGGAGTATAAGTGCAACCATTGTGGAAGACAAGTGTGGCCATTCCTCAAGGATCTAGAACCAGAAATACCATTTGACCCAGTAATTCTATTACTGGGTATATACCCGAAGAATTATAAATTGTTCTAATCATTTGACTGTAAAGACACATGAACACATATGTTTATTGTGGCACTATTCACAATAGCAAAGACTTGGGGCCAACCCAAATGCCCATCAATGATAGACTGGATAAAGAAAATGTGACACATACATACCATGGAATACTGTGCAGCCAAGAAAAAGCGTGAGTTCATGTCTTTTGCAGGAACATGGATGAATTTGGAAACCATCATTCTCAGCAAACTAACTCAAGAACAAAAAACCAAACACTGCATATTCTCACTCATAAGTGGGAGTAACAGTGAGAACCCTTGGACACAAGGAGGAGAACATCACACATTAGGGCCTGTCAAGAGGGTAGGGGGCTAGAAAGGGAACTTAAGAGAAATACCTAATGTAGATGACGGATTGATGGGTGCAGCAAACCACCATGAACCATATATAACAAAGCTGTACATTCTGAACATGTATCCCAGAACTTACAGTATAATAATAATTAAAAATGTATATAGAAATATATGTGCGTGTGTGTGTATATATATTTAGAGAGAGAGAGATTTTTCAAAGCATGAACCTTAGGGAAAAAAAAGAGGGAGAGAGAAAGCCCCAAGAACACTTGGGAACATTTACTTATCAGAAAAAAATGGGGTTTGGAAGAAATAGGCAAATTGTGATAAATATCTCCAGGGGGAAGTAATATCCCTGGTACGTAAGAATAGCAAAGTGAATGCTGAATTTCTAAGTTGAAACACTTAGTTGCCAATTGTTTTTTGTGTTAATCAGAAGAAAACTATTAAAAATATTAAACTTTATAAAATTGAATATAGTTTTTAGTTTTTCCACATTGTGGCTATTAAGAACAGAATGGATGATGACTTACCTGTGTTGCATAAGAAATAGGGGTATTTATTTGTTGGAGTAGCTTCTCTCCAAAGTTCCATTGTTCATCCTGCTTAGCCTTGGTTCTAGAAGTGTATGTTGTATACCTCATATCTCATCCACAACTAAAGTTTTTGTTTGTATAATGGCAAAGTCAAGGGATGTGTGTGTTTGTGTGTGTGTGTGTGTGTGTGTGTGTGTGTGTGTGTGTGTGTCTTGGAACGATACATGGAGACATTGATCCCACTTGGGACTTGTGGAGTTTTCTAGTTTGTCTCTGAACTGATCAGCTAAATCAGGGCTTGAGCATAAGACATTACAAATGGGACAATTTCCCTGCTACAAAAGCTGAATTATATTTTTACTTATTTACATTTAGGGTGTGTACTTTTAAGCTTATTTTTAGATTTTTGTTTTATATATTTGTTTATAACACATTTTATGTGTGGCTTGCAAGGATCAAAATAGAGTTAAGAGTTAACAAAGCTCATATCCTTCCTCCTGTTATTTCATCCTTTAACAGAATTTTGAATAACAATACCTTAGTATTATATAGCTCACTTTGATTTTCAGTGATATTCTCGAGTTAGAATTAACTCAGACTTTTGGGAGTAACAAAAACAAACTAGGGAAACTTTCTGTAGAAAAATAGAAGTTGGTTATTTTGCTCTGTATAATCTCTCCATTTTCGATAGCTTCCAACCTCTTTCATTTACTTAGAATGGAAACTTTTAATTTTTTTTTTAATTAAAAAAAATTTTTTGCCGGGCGCAGTGGCTCAAGCCTGTAATCCCAGCACTTTGGGAGGCCGAGGCAGGTGGATCACAAGGTCAAGAGATCGAGACCATCCTGGTCAACATGGTGAAACCCCATCTCTACTAAAAATACAAAAAATTAGCTGGGCGTGGTGGTGTGTGCCTGTAATCCCAGCTACTCAGGAGGCTGAGGCAGAAGAATTGCCTGAACCCGAGAGGCAGAGGTTGCGGTAAGCCGAGATCGCGCCATTGCACTCCAGCCTGGGTAACAAGAGCGAAACTCTGTCTCAAAAAAAAAATTTTTTTTTGAGACAGATTCTTGTTCTGTTGTTGCCCAGGCTAGAGTGCAGTGGCATGATCTCTGCTCACTGAAACCTTCAACTCCCAGATTGGAGCACTTCTCCCGCCTCAGACTCCTCAGTAGCTGGGATTACAGAGCCGCCACCATGCCTGACTAATCTTTGTATTTTTAGTAGAGACAGGGTTTCACCATCTTGGCCATATTGGTCTCAAGCTCTTAACCTTGTGGTCCACCCTCCTCAGCCTCCCAAAGTGGTGGCATGAGCCACCACGCCCGGCCTTAACTTATTTGTAAGTCTGTGTTTCTTCTCTTTTCCTTTCTACTGGCACCCCTGTGCCTTAACTATTCCATCAACTTTACGTTTTTGTAATCTTATGTATTAAAAAGACTACACGAAAATGAAATGCTAATATTATACTTGTTCTGCCCCTACATTTAGTCACCTGTTTCAAGCCAGTGTAACAGGATGAATGGTTTGTATAAATGTGAAGTAGATTACCCTTTAATTAAATATATTATTAATATTTTTATTCAAAGGGTCCTCGAAGACAAGCCATGAAAGAGATGTCCATTGATCAAGCCAGATACCAGCGATGGCTTATTAAGAACAAAATGAAGGCATTTTATGCTCCAGTACATGCAGATGACTTGAGAGAAGGTGCACAGTATTTGATGCAGGTAACTTTGTTAATGCTTTTCAAATGCTGCCTACATTTTAGATTTGTATAAGCTTTTTCAAAACTTTTTAATTCTAGATTTAATAGATTTTATTCTTCATACTAATACAAATGGTAAATCTTCTCTTATGTCTTAATTAAAGTAAACTACTTTGGGTCACCTGGCTAGTTCAGTTAGTAGAGCATGAAACACTGAAAGTAAACTACTAAGATTTGTATAATTCAGAGCTAAAGGGACCTTAGAAACATTGCATTGTTATATGTTAACTGTAATTGTGGAGCTATTTTGTTAAAGTAGAGGTGGGTGGCTTAGAAAATTGTCTTCTGATCCCTTCCTGTTGAGTGTTTCTTAGACTTGATAAGCACAGGGTAATAACCAAGGCAATCTAGGAAGAAGGGACAAGGGTAGGCTTGCTTTATAGGGAAGAAAGCCCTATCAAAAGCTATAGTAATTAAGACATTGTGGTGTTGAGTATAGCAATAGACAATTAGATGAATGTTACAAAGCAGAATAAATAAAGCCACTCCTAGGAGAAACTTAACATATATGACAGAGGTGCTATTGAAATCCTGGGGCAGAATAATTCATTATTTACATGAATAAAATACTAGATCCTTATAAAAACCACACAAAACACATTTCCAGATGCATTGAACACCTGAATTTAAAAGGCAAATTTGTTTTATTTTTAGAAAAAAAATTCTAAAATAATTGTATGTCCTTGAGCTAGGGAAGAATGAGGCACCAAAAGTTAAGTTCAGTAATTTTGTAGTTTAAAATTTTGAGGTTCTAAAGAAAACATGAAAACAAGAAAAGGAAGCATAGACCAAGGGAAGATAGTGATCTTGACATGTAATCAACAAAAGGTATGGTCCAGAATGCAGATAGAAATACTACGTCAGTAGAAGAAAAAAAGCAAAATATATGAACAGAGAGGAAAAATAAATAACAGAAATAAAAATTAAAAGCACAGTATACTTTTATTCCATATCCATTAGACTGACCCAAAATTAAGTCTGCCAGTACAGTGTTAGAAATGGCGTAGAGCAAGCTGGTCCAACCTGCAGACCACGTGTGGCCCAGGATGGCTTTGAATGTGGCCTAACACAAATTCATAAAATTTCTTAAAACATGAGGTATTTTTGTGATTTTTTTTTAAGCTCATCAGCTATCATTAGTGTTAGTGTACTCTGTGTGTGGCCCAAGACAATTCTTCTTCCATTGTGGCTCAGAGAAGCCAAAATATTGGATACCCCTGACAGAGCAATTGGAAATCTTTGAACTGCTGTGGTAATGTAGTTTAGACAACAACAACGTCCCAAATAGGAAAACAACCTGGCAAAATGTCCTGCAAATGTGGGTTGAATGTCCTAGGACATTCCATTCTTAGGTGTACACCTCACAGAAACTTTTGCACACTTGTGAAGAAGGCTATATGAAACTTCAGGCTGGGCGCAGCAGTTCACTTCTGTAATCCCAGCACTTTGGGAAGCTGAGACAGGTGGATTACCTGAGGTCAGGACTTCAAGACCAGCCTGGCCAACATGGTGAAACCCTCTCCCTACTAAAAATACAGAAGTTAGCATTGCATTCCAGTCTGGGTGACAGAGTGAGAACCCATCTTGAAAACAACAACAACAACAAAAACAAAAACCTTCATGGCAACATCATTTGTAATAGTGAAAGAGTTGGAAGTAACAACCATCAATCACAGAAATGAAAAAGGTAGTACAAATGTGTGGTAGAATTCTATACCGTGGTGAAAGGAGCTATATATATCAACATGGATACACCTCAAAAACAGTGCTTAGGAAAAATAGCAAGTTTTAAAAAGTATATGAACAATATGAAAATTTAAATATTTAAAAAGTATAGTAAATTTTATATGTATGTATTCCTAAGTACGAGAATACATAGAAAAAATACAAAGAGAACGTAAAGATATATTGGAGGCTTTACTGTGTTTCTGATGTTTTTTAACTAGGTTGTGAATGAATGTTTATTACTTTATTCCTTTTTGTATGTGAAATATTGAAATACTTTAGGTAGAATGCTACACTGGGTCATATGGTTATTTCTAGTAGGTAAATCTTGCTTCTTTTGTATAATTTATAGAAACATTCTGATAACCACTATATAAGCAGTAAATTTTAGGAAGGAAATGAATGAAAAGTTTTTTTAGAGCAGTGGGTGTTAAACTTCAGCATGCGTCAGAATCACCTAGTAGACTTGTTAAAACAGATTATTAGACCCCAGCCAGGAATGAATCAGATCTGGGGTGAGGGCCCAGAGTTTGCCCTTCCAGCAGAGTTTGAGGTGATGCTGCTGATCCAGTTCAGGGACTATACTTGAAGAATCACTGCCCTAGAAGGTCTCTGTGGTATGAATGATTCTTTTGTAAATTTGGCAGGAGTTAGAATTCATCCTCCTAATTACTCTCATCCACCTAATATATTCACCACAGTAGACCATGGCAACTGTATCAGTGTGTGGCAAAGTTTTAGGATAAATAGAAGAGTATTATTTTGTATTGTTTTGAGAAAGATACCTAGGAGACTGACTTTCTAGCAGAACTGTCTTAGGAACTGTATGAAATATGATTACAGATAGGTGCCAGTTGTCTCCGTAGAACTAATAACTGAAATTTTTAGTGTAAGTTGCCACTGAGAGTATTTCTCTTTCCTTTCTTCGTTTTGGAAACCTGTTGCACAGAGTATCAAATGGTTTTTAGTTGTTTATTACCTTTGTCAAAAGAATTTTGTACATTAATTTGTTTCTACAGTGACTTTGTATATAGTTGTAGAAATGCTGTTTTTAGATGTTATTTGTTTTACTAGACTTACCCTCAGTTTTTCTCTGTACCCTCCTCTGTCTAGTTACTAATTATAATCATAAGCATCTGTTTATCATTAAACTAGCTTTTAAGTATCTGGCTTTCACAAGGGTTTCACTCTGTCTCCCAGGCTGGAGTGCAGTAGCTGTAGCTGACTGCAGCCTTGACCTTCTAGGCTCAAGTGATCCTCCCACCTCAGCCTCCTCAGTAGCTGGGACCATAGGCATGTACCACCATTCCTGGCTAGTTTTTGTATTTTTTTAGAGACGGGGTTTCACTATTTTAGTCAGGCTGGTCTTGAACTCTAAGCTTGAGCAATCCTCCTGTCTCAGCCTCTCAAAGTGCTGTTATTGGCTGGGTGTGGTGGCTCATGCCTATAATCCAAGCACTTTGGAGGCCAAGGCAGGCGAATCACCTGAAGTCAGCCTGACCAACATGGTGAAACCCTGTCTTTAAAAAAAAAAAAAGTGCTTGTATTATAGGCATGAGCGTCCATGCCCAGCCTAAGACCTCACTATTTTAAAAAGAGACAATCTTATCACTAAATACCTTGCTTAAAGACCTCTTTAAGCAAAGGACATTAGCACTGTTAATATTTTTGTTTTGTATATTTGTATTTTCCTTTTCCCTTTAAATATTTTATAAGGCAGTAGCCACCTGGTTGTCAACTCAATTTTAAACCTTCATTTTTAAATACCAAAACTAAATTTTTTTTTTGTCAGCAAATTTTGGCTTAAGATGCACAGAAAACATTGCTAAAGATTTGAAGAAATAACACAGTGGGAATGTTTGAAACTAGTGATGTTTGTAATAAGCTTCAAATGACTGCATTTTGCGAAATAGGTATCAATTATGTAATCCATAAAGAAGAACTGATTTCCTATCACTTAGTAGAGAAGTATATTCCAGAGAAGACATATTTTCAGTAGTAAATTACTCCACTGATAGACATATTGTTACCTGGACACTGAAAACATTACCTCTGAATAGCTACTTTGATTAGCATTTAGAAAGGATTTATGGATGAGAGTGATACATTTGAAGTTTCGGTCATCCAACGGTAAGTTATTGCAATAAGAAAATTGAACATATAAGTACACAGAGCAAGATGTTATTGTTAATTTTGTAAAAATAAAAACCTTTAATTATTAGGATTTTAACAAATTTGTATAAGTTGCTCCGACAGTATTTTATACCATTAAGAAGGTACTGGTTATCTTATGGCTTACTTCTTTAAAAAGGTGTCAACCTAAAGATACTCTTGGTTTTCTTTTACTCCCCAATTCCTTTTCCACCCCCCAATTAAAAGTATGCTGTGTGGTTAAGATAGTTTTAAAAAAATTAAAATGAATATTTTTATATGCCTCTTCAAGTCAAAGGTGCTTTTAATATTGAGTGTGGGGGGTGGAATTTACTTCTTGAAAGAAGTGTGTGTATGGATGGAACACTTTGAAAAGAGATGTAAGCTTTACAGAGTTAGGAATATTTCTTCTGTCCTAATTATCCCAAGTGGCAGGTCGACACTTGATAAGTATTTGATTTTTTTTTCAATGAATGATTTTAGCATGTCACAAATAATCTTAAGTGTGACCTCACACTATATATAAAAATTAAATCACTGACTTAAATATGAGAGCAAAACCCATAAAACTCTTAGAAGAAAACAAGTGGTAAAGACTTCATGGCACTGGATTTGTTATTGGATTCTTAGATATGACACCAAAAGCATGGGCAACAAAAGGGACAGATAAAATATATTCATTGCAGTGTTATTCACAATAGCCAAAAAGATAAAGGTATCTCCCAACAGGTGAATGGATGAACAAAAAAGTGTCTCCCAACAGATAAATGGATGAACAAAACAGGGTGTTTGTATGTGTATGTGCGTGTGTGTGTGTATAAAATGAAATATTCAGCCATAAAAAGGAACGAAGTTCTGCTACAACATGGATTAACTTTGAAGACATTTATGCTAAGGACACATACTGTGATTTCACTCATACAATATCTAGAATAGGCAGATTCATAGAGACAAGTAGATATTACCAAGGGTTGGAGGGAGAAGGCGATGGGTATTTATTGCTTAATAGTTATAGAATTTCTGTTTGGGGTGATGAAAAATATTTGGAAATAGATAGTAGTGTTAGTTATACAACATTGTAAATGTAATTGATGCTATTGAATTGTACACTTAAAAATAGTTAAAAGGACAATTTTTTGTTATTTTACTTTAGCTATAATAAAATACTAAAACCTGTGTATGCATACAATCTTGGAAGTAGAATTTTCTAATGTATTTAAAAATATTATAAGAGATTGAGTGGACTTTGGGGGAATGCTTTGGCCCTCTGCAGGTTTCACACCTATAGATTCAACAAACCATGGCTTGAAATTATTTGAAAAAATATTAATACAACAATAAAAACAATACAAATTTTAAAAATACAGTATAACTATTTACATTGTATTAACTATTATGAGTAATCTAGAGATGACTTAAAGAATAAGGGGGGAATATGTGTAGTTTATATGCAAATACTATGCCATTTTATATGAGGGATTTGAACATTAGCAGATTGTGGTATCCTGAAGGGCTGGAGGGATATCCTGAAACCAATTCCCTATTGTTAAGCATATTGACTTGTAAATCCTGATGAGGTTGCAAGAAAAATTAATTGATGGAACAATTGAGGAAGGAAATTAACTGAGTGTCAGCAAAAACTTTTGCATGATTAGTAGAACAAATTTAGATTTTAGTATTAATGTGGTGCAGAACTGCATCTATTTGGACTTTTGTTTGTAGTTTTTAATGGCTGTTATCAAAATACATAACTGAGAATGCCACTGTATTATAATTTTTTAAAATATTATATTCTATTTCTTTTAGTAAAAATATGAAAATTTTGGTAGATCATAAAAGTGCAAAAATGTACATTTAGAATTTTTCAAGTGTTTTTAAATTATTTGTGTGTATGTTTAATTATAAGTAATATGATGAATGTAGTAGTGTATGTCATTTATAAGTAAATATCCATGTATTAAATGTTGAGGAAGTTTTGCTAAGAGTGTCTATAGTGGCTGTCAATTTGGAGAACAGTTTTATCAGTTTAGAAAACATTTTGTTGAAAATAGTATATGTATAAAGTTGTATTTACCCTGTGTTTTAGGCTGCTGGTCTTGGTCGTATGAAACCAAACACACTTGTCCTTGGATTTAAGAAAGATTGGTTGCAAGCAGATATGAGGGATGTGGATATGTATATAAACTTATTTCAGTAAGTATCTTTTTAATTCAGTAATTTAGTTCATTGAGAAAATGTTAATTTTAAAAGCTTGCCCTAATTTTTCCTGTTTCTCATGTAGTCTCTTCCGATAGAAATATAAGAACGAAAAGAATCACACAAAACATCTGGACTTTAAATTGATCTTAATCTGTTAACAAATTTTTTATTGATCTTTATTGTCTTTTTACATGCAAGTATATATATACACATACATATGTATGTGTGTGTATATACATGTATGCACTCTGGCTTCTCATTTAAGTTTGTAAGCTTTTTCCTATTCCTACAGCTCTTGCTGAGCAGAGTTCCCAAATGTCACACCAACACTTCCTAAACTATGTCATTATAATATGCTGAGTTTTATCACTGTTGAGTCGTGTTCCACTTCCAAACAAATTTTGCAGTTAATCGTTTGGTTCATTAAGTTATTTACATTTATTTTATTTAAATGTACTTATATGCTTTGTTTTTCTACCACTTTGAAGAGTTAAGTTTGAGTTAACTTCCATTTTTTGGGTTGTCTAGTACAGCAGTCCTCAACCACAGGGACCGGTTTCGTGGAAGACAATTTTTCCACAGACATGGGTGGCAGGGGGGCTGTGGTTTCAGGATGATTCAAGAGCATTACCTTTATTGTGGAGTTTATTTCTATTATTGCATATATCTATCTATCTATCTGTATATATATATAGATATATATTGCATATATAGACTCAATGGGAATCCTGAGCTTGTTTTTCTGCAACTATAGACAGTTCGGTGTGCAGGTGATGGGAGAGAGTTGACGATCATCAGGCATTAGATTCTCATAAGGAGCACGCAACCTAGATTCCTTACACATGCAGTTCATAATAGGGCTCGCACTCCTTTGAGAAACAAATGCCACTGCTGATCTGACAGGGATTGTACCTCAGGTGGTATGCTCGCCTGCCCATGATCACCTTCTGCTGTGCAGTCCTCCTTGTTCCTGACAGGCCCCTACCACTACTGGTCCATGACCTGGGGGTTGGGTATCCCTGATCTAGTGCGTTCTTTTTTATTCTTTTGCTACTTTGTTTTTCTGATTGTATTCTGTTTGTGGATTTTTATGGCTGTATCTGTTTAATGTAATCTACCACATGCTTTTTGAAACTAAGTGAGTTATTTAATAAAAGAATAAAACCTTTTTTTTGCCAGATTTTCTTCTTAATCTTGAAAAGTACTTCTTTTCCTAATATTCTAAGTTTTGCCTAACCGATTTATGTTGTTTATACTGAAGATAAGCATTCAGTCTCCACTATGCCCTAGTTGATTTGTGGAGTAGTTTTTTTCTTGTCCTAAGCACTGGTAAAATAGAACTGTCCCCTTCTTATAATTGTCCTTAAAAAACAAAAACAAAAACAAAAATTTTTATTTGCAAAGTAGCTTTAAGATTAAAGTTTAAGCCCTATTTTCTCTATGAATTTTGATCTGATAACCCTTTACTCACTGGGTTTACTTCCTTACTGGAACTCCTGTTGTGTCTTTGGCTATAACCACATATATTTGCCCATCCCACATATGAGGGTTTTATTAGTGACATTTGAAAAGTCTTTGAGGAAGCAGCTGGATCTCATACTCTGCTTTTTAAATGATCTCTTTATATGGATTAGTAACATATATGATAAACAAGATCTCCCAACTAATTGTTAAATACTTTTAGTAAAATTAAAACTGCTGATTTGTTGTCACTACAGTTAAGCTTTGGGTTTATTAACTTTTTTGTAAGCAGAACCTCATTGTGGCTAGTTCTGTATTCTGTATATATAGGGATTAGGGACAGAAAGATTAAACAATGTGGACCATGAGCCATGAAACCCATGAGCTATGAGCTATGCTTTTTCTCTCTAAAGACCCAAGAGCAGTGAGAATGAATTAATTATCCTAAAAAATACAAAAAGTAACATTTTTACACATTCTTTCATATGCCTGTCCCATTATTAGTTGTAGTTGCTCATAATGGAACACTGGAAGGGGTCTTTCTGACTCTGACCTAGTAGTGATTAAAGTGAGTGAGTGTTCTGAAAGTAGAGTATTACCCTAAACATTACTCTTGTACATCAGACAGCAATTAAAGTATGGGTAAAATACTGCTTTCTGGTTTTAAAAAATAATAGCAGTTACAAAGCAGTGACACTGCTAATTTTTGTGGTACTTCCACTAATGTTTTAGCTGTGATTTTAAATACCTTGTGCAATTGAGGTAAGCTTTATATATTGTGTTTTTATTAACAGTATATTAGATACAGTTAATTAACAGTATATTAGATCTGAAGCTGCAAATCAGTTTTTATAGCTTATAACAAAAACACTTATTTGTTTAATCCAAAGTAAACTTACATTCCCTGGCTTTAAAGAAATTGATTTTGATTTAGTCAATGTATTAACCAATTTTAAAAATACTTATAGTTATTTCTTCTCTAGTATTAATTAGATCTTTCAAGATACAGCTGAGAAAGATTAACATACTATTTAAATTTCTCCAGTGACTCTTTTAGCTTTAGTTAGCTCATCATAGGAATATGGCCAAATTGTCTCTCCATGATTTAAAAACAACAAAAGATATTTTATAACCACATATCATATCCTTAACATTCTTCCATTTGTCAGTAAGAGTAATAACTTATTTTATTAGATTTTAACCTTTTCATTTCATATAGCTATATCTTAATATGTTACTGTTTTTATGGCTACAGTGAATACTTATTACTTGTACAATGAATAATAATAATTAAAGATGAAAGTTAAGCCTGCTACCACTTTGGGAGAACAACATGACATTTGGAATTTAAAATTAGTAGATTTGAAAAAAACTTGGGTTAAAATGAAGATGTATGCTCATAACTGAGATTCTAGGGTTTAAGTCTGGTTTTAAAGCTGTCTTAGATTTTAATGTGTTTTTTGTATGTATAGGATGCACCCATTCATGTTTTTAAAAATGAAAGGGAGAGGTAAATACATATTTGCAGATGTATATAAAATATTTGAACTACTTTCAAACCAGTTTTTTAAAAATTAAAAATTAGGTTAAAATTCCCTCAATCATTTCAGAAATAATTTCTTCATATCCTGCAACCTGCTGTCATTTGCAGTAGCATCTGGGGTGGGTGGGTGGGGGTGTGTGTGTGTTCATGTATTTCTCTTGGTTTTAATGGTATAAGTCCAAATATCCATGTAGTGGCATTCCAGAAGTAGTTTTTCTATAATTTAACCTAGTAGAATAAAAATATTGCTGCTGCTTTAAATGGCAGCTGCAGGTATAATGTTGATACTGCAAAGATCTAAAAAGTAGTTTTCAAGGGTATTACAGAAGAAGAAAATATTGTAGGATTTGAAACTAACATACATATCTCAAGTGATTTTCAAAGCATGTTTTAAAAATTCAGTCATTTAAAGCTGAAAGTAATTTTAGAGATCATCTATTATCTTTATAGAGGATAACACAAATATTGTGTTTTTTTAATAGTGATGCCTTTGACATACAATATGGAGTAGTGGTTATTCGCCTAAAAGAAGGTCTGGATATATCTCATCTTCAAGGGCAAGGTAATTTGTTTGAAATAAGTTTTTAATTTAAAAAATGCAAACCACTCTATTAGAAAATTACTTTCTCACAAACTCTTCATTACTGTTAATAATTACTATGTGTCATGGACTTACTGTATGGCATTTTAAGATCACATTTGGCTCCACTAAAGTTTGTGTTTTCTCTTTGTACCAGCCTGGATGATGGTTAGTGATTATCAATGGAGAGACTAAAATTTAATCCAAAGCATAAGCTTAAGCCAAATTTTTTAAAGACGTAAGTAAAATAGTATTCGGCAAAACTTTTAAATGACCACTAAATCATTAGACATTTTCATATTTATAAAAATATGCTTTATATAGAGTCATCTTGATGATAGAAGCTTACATGTTGTCTTAATGTTCTCTATCTTCAGCAGACCTGATAAATGTTTTTTTAAAAACATTTTTTAATTTAAAAATATTTATAGTTTCACAAGAAGTTGCAAAAAATAGTAGAGAGGTCCACTGTACCCTTCATCCAGTTTCCAATGGTAACATCTTTCCTTATTCTAAGGTACTATGTCCAAGCCAGGAAATTGACACTGGAACAACCCACAGACCTTTTTCAGATTTCAGCAGTTTTACAAACACTTGTGTGTGGTCGTGTAGTTCTGTGGCACTTATTATGTGTTCATTTGTGTAGCCACCGTTGCATCACACTACCCGACTTCAAACTGTACTACAAGGCTACAGTAATCAAAACAGCATAGTACTGGTACCAAAACAGATATGTAGACCAATGGAACAGAACAGAGGCCTCAGAAATAACACCACACACCTACAACCATATATTTGACAGCCCTGACAAAAACAGGCAATGGAGAAAGGATTTCCTATCTAATAAATGGTGCTGGAAAAACTAGCTAGACATATGCAGAAAACTGAAACAGGATCCCTTCCTTACACCTTATACAAAAATCAACTCAAGATGGATTAAAGATTTAAACATAAGACCTAAAACAACACCATAAAAACCTGAGAAGAAAACCTAGGCAGTACCATTCAGGACATAGGCATGGGCAAAGACTTCATGACTAATACACCAAAAGCAATGGCAACAAAAGCCATAATTGACAAATGAGATCTAATTTAACTAAAGAACTCCTTCACAGCAAAGGAAAATATCATCAGAGTGAAGAGACAACCTAAAGAATAGGAGAAAATTTTTGCAGTCTACACATCTGACAAAAGGCTAATATCCAGAATCTACAAATAACTTAGACAAATTTATCGGAAAATTAATAACCCCATCAAAAATGGTTATGAACAGACAGTTCTCAAAAGGAGGCATTTATGTAGCCAACAAACATGAAAAAAAGCTCATTATCACTGGTCATTAGAGAAATGCAAATCAAAACCACATTGAGATACCATTTTGTGCCAGTTAGAATGGTGATCACTAAAAGTCAGAAACAAATGTTGGAGAGGATGTGTAGAAATAGGAAAGCTTTCATACTGTTGGTGGAAGTGTAAATTATTTTGACCATTGTGGAAGACAGTGTAGAGATGCTTCAAGGATCTAGAATCCGAAATACCATTTAACCCAGCAATCCCATTACTGGGTATATACCCAAAATTTATAAGTCATTTTGCTGTAAAGACACATGCACATGTATGTTTATTGTGGCACTGTTCACAACAGCAAAGACTTGGAACCAACCCAAATGCCCATCAATGATAGACTAGATAAAGAAAATGTGGCACATATATACCATGGAATACCATGCAACCATAAAAAAGGATGAGTTCATGTCCTTTGGAGGGACATGGATGAAGCTGGAAATCTCAGCAAACTAACTCAAGAACAAAACCAAAACACCACATGTTCTCACTTATAAGTGGGAGTCGAACAATGAAAACACATGGACAGAGGGAGGGGAATACCACACACCAGGGCCTGTCCGGGTGGGGGTTAGGGGAGGGATAGCATTAGGAGTACCTAATGTAGATGATGGGTTATTGGGTGCAGCCATCCACCATGCCACATGTATACCTGTTTAACAAACCTGTGTGTTCTGCACATGTAACCCAGAACTTAAAGTACAATAAAAAAAAAAATGTTTTTTCAATGGTGGCCTGTTTCCCAGTGGCTCACCAGGACCCTCTTTGAATGAGATAGAGTCGTCTTAGTGTAAAGACTGGAAGATTTGCCTCTAAGCACTCTAGAAAATTAAAGATTTTACCTTATCTGCAGTACACATTCTTTGTTCTGGAAGCTCTTTTCTAGAGGAAACACCCTTTCACACGTTAATATTAGCTGAACTGGCTGAATTAAATTTACTGAATAAAGATTTTGTTGCAAGCAAAAAAAAAAAGGTACAGTGCTATTCTGTCACTACAGAGGTCTCCCTATGTGCTCCCCCTTTCTACCTCCCACTGTATACTTCTCTCCCGTCATTACTGTATAACTTTTACATATCAAGAATGGTATGTAAATAATTATAAAATAAGATAGTGTGTAACTTTTAAAGCATCTTTGAAAGTGATCTTTCTAAGTAAGGTATAATTACTACGTTTGTCAACTTTATGAAAACTGGCAGGGAGCGGTGGTTCATGCCTATAATCCTACACGTTGAGAGGCTGAGGCAAGTGGATCACCCATGAAACTTTTTATATCCTCTGAAGGTTTTCTGGTAGTTTAAGAAATATCATAAGCTTAAGAAAGTCTACATATCTAACATATTACCCTTACCAGTTAATTAACCAAATCATCAGAAGAAACTAAGCCTAAAAATACATAAGAGGTAACTGCTTCTGTATTTAAACTGTTTAAACTTCCCTCTTTCAGCCCTTTAAAGAGCAGTTTGCAGTTTCAGAAGAAACACTTTGAGGTCTTTATCCGTGTAACCAAAATATGCATTTTCAGCAATCTGGAATAGGTTTGGCAAAATGCTATTTCAGTTATTTCTTGTTGAATCAGAATTGAGGTTTAGAGTACCTGTTCACACAAATAGTAGTGTTCCCTTTCATGTATCACAGTTCGGCAAATAAATTATATATTTCTATCATTTATTGAAGTTTGAATGTGATTGAAACTTTTAAAATTTTCATATATTTATAAGCATTATTATATGTTTTTGAATGCCTTATTATTCATCGTTAAGTTTTAAAACAGGAATTTGACTTGGCATAGGAATTAAGTGCATAGGCATTAGAGTCAGGCAAATCTGCTTTTAAAAATCTCAGTCTTTTCTGTTAGGTGTTTTGTAGCCTGGGCAAATTTGGTGACTCCAAGCCTCAGTTTCCTTATCTGTTAAAATGTGTTTACCTTACAGGTTCGTTGTTAAGATTAAAAAGGAGATTAAAGCCTGTGAGCTCTTAGCAAAGTACTGGCATGTAGTTTTTTTTTCTTCTCTTCATTTGCACAAATAAGTGATGAGGATTTGTGCAAATGAAGAGAAATAAATTGGACAGATTATCAGTTTCATATTATATTTGTCTTTGTGATACATTTTTGTATGATGGAAGCCAAATATTTACTAACTCTGACAAAAAGAGAAAATGAAGAAACTACTTTAAAATGAAGAAATGGTACTTTCACCATTAATTTAGGAAGACTATTTCCTGGTCTTGGTTTTATAGTAGTGGATAGAATTTTTTGGTGTTGTCTGTCATCTTACGTATCTATGAACATTTGTTACATTTTACATTTTTTATGTATGTAACTGACATTCAGAGCAGAATAGATTCACATACTATATATTACTGTCGCCAGATTCTACTGTTCTATGAATTGTACTCATTACTAATTCTTCAGCTCTTAATTCAAATACAGGTTGTATGTCTTTATCGAAAATGCTTGGAACCCGAAGTGTTTCAGAGTCCAGAAGGGGAAGGTTGATTTTGGAATATTTGCATTACACAATACTTACCAGTTGAGCATCTCTAATCCAGAAATCCAGAATCTGAAATGCTACAATTAGCATTTCCTTTGAGAATCATGTGAAGCATCTAAAAAGTTTCAGGTTTTCAAATCAGGGATACTCAACCTGTAACTGAGTTGTGGTTTATGTATTTAAGTGAATAGTCATTTCAAACAAGTTATCATAGTTTTTTAAGTAAGTCATTTATAATAAACATATGTTTTCATAATAGTTTATAAAACCATAATGCCTTATTTAACAGTTAAAATGTGACTTAGATACTATTTTAAATACTTTTATGTCTACAGAAGAATTATTGTCATCACAAGAGAAATCTCCTGGCACCAAGGATGTGGTAGTAAGTGTGGAATATAGTAAAAAATCTGATTTAGATACTTCCAAACCACTCAGTGAAAAACCTGTTACACAAAAAGGTAATTTTCATTCAAATAATAAGTCTTAGTAATGTTTTAATTTGTGAGACATTTTTAATTATAATATATGTCTTATAAAAAATAACCTGTTCTCAAACTGGTCATTTCTAGTTGGTAAAATTTATGGTTTCAAAAATGGCTGCAGAATGACTAGCTGTTTTAAGGTACTAGAGTAGATCATCAAACAGAAACCATGCCAATTATTTACTAATATGGCCTCTGTGTTTTTATTTATACTTGCTTTAAAGAAAACATTTTAATTCGAAGCATAGCTTAAATCTGAATTTGGAAACAACATGGTAATTATAAAGTAACAGACTCATGAGATTTTCACATAATTTCATCTACAAATATATGTGTCATGTTTGAGAAGGAAAGAGGGATGACTTCCAAATCTTACTCTCCCACCCTCACTCTCCTACCTCTATTCAGTATAGTATCTCCATCTGTCCTATTTTCAGCTGACATGCAACAAGAAAAAAAATCTATGCTGTAAATCATCAAACCATAACATAGTTTTGATTCCTGCAAAATATTTCCCATTATTTTTCTGAAATTGTAACCTTGGACCAATCAATCATGTCTGTGTAGTTTATGTCTTCTATATTACTTAGAAGCAGTAATGTTGCTTTTAATTTTCTTTCCTCCTTATTTACCTTATTGGCTTAGGGTATTAGTAGTTAAAGTTTAGTTGACACCCATTTTCCTTTTCAGTTCTTGGTTGGCTTGATTATAATTTATTTTGTTTTCCCTCAAAATTCTATAAACTGATTCTGATAACTGTTCTTATGTTCTAGCATTTATTTTAGTTTGCAGTATACATTCTTTCATTTCCTTTTTTTTTGTTTCAAACATTCTTTTTCTACAGAATCTGTTAGGAATTAATAGGTGAGGTTTTGATGGGAGGGTAAGAAGTAATACACATCAAGCATATACTCCATGCACCCACATTATAGTGGTTGTTACCCATACATTAGCTAATAATATATGTTATGATCTTATTATTATTTTTATAGAACAGGAAACTGGGTCAGTACATTTCTACTTACCTTTTTATTATAAAAATCTAAATGCCTTTAACTTCCTTTATAATTTTTAAATGTCAAGATTCCCTTGACATTTTCTGAGCTCTTTTAAGCGAATGCAGAATATCAGTAGTTATATTTATAATTTTATCAAAGACAAATTTTATTAAGTATCTTTTTATACAAACAATATTGAATGTATAAAATTAAATATAATTGATTCTTTTTCCATTACAAGTTTAAGAAATTAGCATTTGCTAGGCTGGGCACGGTGGCTCACGCCTATAATCCCAGCACTGAGGTTGGGAGTTCAAGAAATTAGCATTTGCTTTATTTTGTGTTTATTTTCTATGTAGTTAGTTATTCTCAAAGTTAGCAGCATAGATACTACAGAAAAGTTTATACATTTTAAAACATTTTCAGAATTAGAGACATTAGGATGTAGTTATAAGTCCACAGTATTTAGTTGTGTCTGTTTGATTATTGAATTATACAACATGCAAGGAGTCAAAAAGAACACCTTCTAAATACTTTCTGTCAGGCACAGAGCTCAGTGCATTAATACTTGCATTAGTATAACAAGTTTAAGAGGTAGGGACTAATATTCTTTCTACAAAAGAGAAAAGCAAGTTCAGTAACTAAAGCTCACACAGCTAGTAAAACGAGTAGAGGTAAGATTGCAATCTTGCAGTCTTAACTCCAGAGCCCACTGCAGTGTACTCTTTCTTGTCCCAAGTCCAGAGTTTTATATGTCATAAACAAATACTATAATACAAACTTATATTAAGGGAACAAAATAAGATTGGGAAAATGGTTAATGCCTGAAAAATATTTGTAGGTATCTTTAAATATAGATGGATTAATATATGCACACATATATACATACATACATATATAAATTTATGTATTTGAGAAAAATCACTCCTGTATAACCTGGTATTTTATCTAAAGCAAAATACTGCTGTCTCTGATCAAGTTTCTTAATATTTCAAGTGGTGATTAATTTTTTACAAGTAACAAATATCCATTAAATGTTTCTAAAATTGCTCTTCAGTCATTTGCACAGTGATGCAGTGGCATGTTTAAAATTTTTGTATTATCTGCAGTATCAGTTTTTAATGTCATATTTACACTCTATAAGCCACAGTTCAATGTCTTTTCAACTTATTTCAAGTATGAGAGTATAAAAATTTTTTAAATATGCTGAAATTTAAAGAAAAATTTTATAGGAATTAAATTTAGGAGTGTTAGTCATCCTATAGGGGAGGGGTCCCAAATATGTTTGCTTTTTAAAAGCTTCAACGTTCTGCAGAAAATATTAATCTTCAGTCTTGATTATTCTTCAGTGGACTATTATTTCATACTATATTTTGTTTATAAATGTGCTCTAGTTACATTTTCATTATTTTATTAATATAAAGGCAATTAACTTATTTTTGTGTTTTTTAAACATAATCTAGATGAGGAAGAGGATGGCAAGACTCCAACTCAACCACTGTTGAAAAAAGGCAGGCATTTTTCATCATTTTATTTTAATCCCTCTTTCATACTGTAAACTTTTTAACTTCAACCTTATTCCTTTCTTTTTAACCTTTTTGTTTCCATTGTGAGGTGATGTTACAGTTCTATAAATGCAGATTAGAAAAATTATCATTAGTCTAACTAAAGAGTTAAATCTTCCCAGGAAATGGTATTATATCACAGACAAATTCCTTTAAATCATCATAGCATTTCTGAAACATTCAGACCCAGACAGCCAGTATTCTTTTTTTTTTTTTTTTTTTAATTTAAACTGCATGGTTTAGATGATAAGTAGGGACACTGAAGTAGGTTTTATTTGCAGTGTCACTTGCATCCTTTACCGTCAGTTGTACCCAGCCAAGTCCTCAATTTTGATACTAATGTATTTTTCATTTCAAAAATTACAATATTTCTCACAGTCATGCTGCGTTTGGGAGATACACAGTCATGTCAACATACATGAATTTTATGAGAAGGAGATAGAGGTGAGAGTTATGGAGCAGTGTGGTTTGGTAGCCATTTTATTTCATCGTGCAAAATCATTTGTCATGTTTGCATATATCACAGCAGCATGAAAAGTGACATTCTACAAAAGTGATCAGATGTCCTTGTATGGATTTCTGCTTTTAAAATTTTGGTGTAGGAGTTTCATGATAGTCATTTGCTTGCTCACGGAATCAGTGCTGTTTTTTGTTTTGTTTTAACTCCTGGGAATATAAATGGGAACTCCTTGGTGTATTGTTCTCAGGCCTGCAGCAAATGGGTGCCCTTCCAAGGAGTTCCCACCATCTTTCTGTGGTTCAGAGAAAGATGTGGTTATATGGCTTTAGAATTGGATGTCACATATTAGGGACAAAACATAGGTAAACATGAGTGAGTCTTTCCTTAGACTAAGGTTTCACTGATAATTGTAAGAATATGTTAGTATGTCTTCAACTCCCATCTTTCATTTATGTTACAAATAACAAATTTGTCTTTTAAAAAGTTTTGAGCTTTAAATTATTGAGATATACCAAAGAAATAGTTTCACAGAACAGGTGTAAACTTGATGTGTCCAGTTAGACTAAAACAGCTTTTCAAAAAAACACAAAATCTAGAGTCCAGTATAATTTTTTTGATTGATGTTTATGATTCTCTTACATTCATTCAGAATACTTGAATATATTAGTAATTAGGCAGATAATTTTGATTGGTTTAGCTATTGTAAAGAGTTACTTCTCTGTGGCCGTTTATAAAGTATAGTATTATTATACTGAAAGCTTATGGTAGATGACATATGCAATTGCCTGTATTATAAACATCTGAATACAAAAATTAGGAAACAACAGGAATTCAGCAAAGGGCTTTTAACATTTACTTTCCTTACATTTTATTTTTTGCTTAATCCTTTAGAATCCAAAGGCCCTATTGTGCCTTTAAATGTAGCTGACCAAAAGCTTCTTGAAGCTAGTACCCAGTTTCAGAAAAAACAAGGAAAGAATACTATTGACGTCTGGTGGCTTTTTGATGATGGAGGTAAGGTTGTTAATTTTTAAAAATGATTTTAAATATACTGATATTGTGAGAATAGTAGGAAATGGTATGCATTCTTTACCCATAGAGCCCATTCAAATTTTGCCAGCATTCCCAAAAGTAAAAGGATTAATTTCAGAATCAGACACAGCATTTAGTTGTCTGGTCCCTTCAGTATCCTTAACGCAGAGTTTCATGACCTCAGCATTTTTTTTTTGAGACGGAGTTTTGCTCTTGTTACCCAGGCTGGAGTGCAAGGGCACGATCTCGACTACCACAACCTCCGCCTCCTGGGTTCAGGCAATTCTCCTGCCTCAGCCTCCTGAGTAGCTGGGATTACAGGCACGAGCCACCATGCCCAGCTAATTTTTTGTATTTTTAGTAGAGACGGGGTTTCACCATGTTGACCAGGATGGTCTCGATCTGTTGACCTCGTGATCCACCCGCCTCGGCCTCCCAAAGTGCTGGGATTACAGGCTTGAGCCACTGTGCCCGGCCCAGCATTTTTTTTAAGTGTTGTCAACCTTTTTGTTGACTGTCACCCAATATGAAGTGCTATTTAATGTTTTATTTATGTATTTATTTATTTATTATAAGACGGAGTTTCATTCTTACTGCCCAGGCTGGAGTGCAATAGTACAATCTCAGTTCACCGCAACCTCCGCCTTCCAGGTTTGAGTGATTCTCCTGCCTCAGCCTCCCGAGTAGCTGACATTACAGGCATGTGCCACCAAGCCTAGCTAGTTTTGTATTTTTAGTAGAAACGGGGTTGCTCCATGTTGGTCAGGCAGGTCTTGAACTCCCAAAGGGCTGGGATTACAGGTGTGAGCCACGTGCTTGGCCTAATGTTTTATTATCATTAGTTTTAGGTTATCTATCTTTGGCAGAAATATCACAGAGGTAATGCTGTGCTCTTCTGTCTACATCTCCTCAGATGGCACAGGATATTGATTTGTCCCATCACTGGTGAAATTAAGTTTAATTATTGTGTACTATGGTTTTTGCCAGGTTTATTCACTGTAAAGTTATCTTCCACCCACCTTTATAATTATAGGTATTGGGGATGGCACAGGGGAGTTACTCTGAGACCATGTAAATACACCATTCTTCTTGCAGCCTTCATCACTATCTTTACCATCCATTGATGTTTCCCTGAATTTATTGTTGTGGTTGTCAAATGATGATTTTACAATTCCAACACTTCTTCCTCATTTATTAGTTGACATTTTATTGAAAGGAAGAGCTTTCTCTTTATATCTATCAGTGTGGACTCATTGATTTCTATTTTATTGATATTCAATGGGTTATGTATTAGACTACTCTTATTTCTTTGAATAAATACCTGAAACTGCATAGTTTATTAAAAAAAAGAGGTTTAATCAGCAGATGATTCTGCAGGATGCACAAGCATGGTGCTGACATCACTTAGCTTCTGGATAGGCCTCAGGGAGCTTTTACTTATGGCAGAAGGCAAAGCAAAACCAGGCACATCACATGATGAAAGCAGGAATGAGAGAGACATAGAGAGGAGACAGATATGCCACATACTTTTAAATGATCCAGTCTCATGAGAACTATCACAAAGCACCAAAACTTGAAGGACCCACCACCATGATCCAAGATCCAAACACCTCCCACTAAGCTCCACCTTCAGGATTGGGGATTAATTACAATTCATCATGAGATTTGGGCAGGGTCTAATATCCAAAATATGCCAGGATATAATTTGTTACTTTTATTTGGTTTGATGTTCCAGTTGTCCCATATTTTACCAGCAGCATGCTCCTTACGCTGATTTGTTTCCATTTATCATGTCCCAGTCATTTTTTGAGTTATTTTCTGACCAAGAAGATGTTCCAGGCTTGGTTTTACGGTTTTGCACTTCATAGCCACAAGAGTAACCCTTGATCCAAGGAATGCTGATTCCTTTTACTGAACAGTAGTGTTTAGAAACAAAGATCAGGGCATTACATATGCTTGTGGCTACTAGAGTGTCACTGCTCCCGGGGCTTCTCAATGTATGGAGCCAGGCACTCCATGAAATGTGTGTGTGGAGACATAAATGACGATCAAAACCAATTTCAGTCCAGCTTCTCCCTTTTTGTATTTCTCACTCAAGTGTTAAACACAGCTCCCACTAAGGTCTATAAATAACACTTAATTTTCTCAATCTTGTTGTATGTGACTAGTCTCCTGACTTTACTAGGCCACTATCCCATTTGGCTGTCTTCCTTGAATGATCTCAGACTCCATTAGGAGTCCCTTCTTGCTCAGGTCTGCTAATGGCCTTTTGACTGAATTATCAAGGAAGGACAGAAAGAAGAATTTTGTTTATGGAGTTGTAGTAAACATTTTTCTCAAGAGTAAATTGAATTAATGTTCTTGATTAAGAAACTAGCATTTACCAAATGATTTATTATATTTTTATAATTCAGGTTTGACCTTACTGATACCTTACCTTCTGACTACCAAGAAAAAATGGAAAGACTGTAAGATCAGAGTATTCATTGGTGGAAAGATAAACAGAATAGACCATGACCGGAGAGCGTAAGTTTATTTCACATTGAAGGGCATTAATCTAGTAGCACTTCATTGCTGCAGTATAACTTTGATAAGACAAAAATTGGACAACTCAGGAAATGTCTAATGTTGCTTTTTTTTTTTACTGAAGTTAAAAATTTTAGTTAAATATAACCTTGTTCTTTTCAGTGTTCATGTTTAGTAGATACCTAATTTTACTTAGATGTAATTTTTTTAACATGTTAGCATTTTAGAAGGTCCTTCTTAAATGCTTGTAACATTAAAATGCTAAGCAACATTTTTCTTTTAATCAAGGGAGAAGGTGCACAAACATTACATATTTATATATGCGGTACATTATGTTGTAGACTTCTGGACAACAAAATGCAGAATGCCATTGTCATCCATTGTATTCCTTTTGTCTGTACTGTCACAATTCTAGTTTGTTTCAGTTATTTCTCTCCTGCTTTCTAAATACACTTGTTTTATCTTTGCTCTATAACGAATATATTATACAGAGTACATAAATATGCATAATCTTTGACCTAATGTGTATATTATATACATTATGGGTCAAAGGTATGACATGGGTACTTAGAAGAATTGAAACCCAGTTTTATTTTCAGAAAGCAGAATTTTGACCGTATCATTCCTCTACCCAAAATACTTTAACAACTTCTCTGCTACCTGCCATAGAAAATCTAATTGTTACAATGTAGTAGTCAAGACCCTTGACAATCTGTCTTGTCATTCATTTTCTATTCTTCTATTTCCCCCAGTATGCCTTACACTTAGTACACTTTTCCATTTGCTCTAAACATGCATGTGACTTCAGGCTTTTTACTCTTTTGCCTACTCTCATCTCTCTACTGTAAATATCTCTTCAATTGCCTCTCCTTTTATCTGTTTACTGCATGCTTTAAAATCCAGATCAGTTCTTCATAGTGCCTTCCCTGTTTTTCCCCACTTACCTCCCCACCAATCTAGTTGTGTTTCTTTCCGGAATTACAATATACTTGATGCCTACCACTCATCACATTCTGGCTGGTATTATTTTCTTAAATTTGAGTTTTGTGGGCACTGTAATGTTTAGCATGTTTTATAATAGGCACTTAGTAGATAGATCCTGGAATTCAACTAGGTGTTTATTCATTTCAAATAGTGAATTATGCAAGAAATACTAGTAATAAATTTAATAGTTAAAGCTGTAGCACATCTGTTTTCTCATATCTCAGTTTAAAAGCATTTTTTATTACAAGTAAAATTGCATTTTGCTAATTGCTTTTTGTGTGTATGTGCACTTCAATTTTTCTGTTGTTGCCACCAATGTTTGATTGTCAACTATGGCTTCAGAAAGGTATTTACTGAAAAATCAGGCTTGTTGATGCTGCTTTTCTATGTTCTATCCCAGTTCCCTCCTCCCCCATGATGCTATGAACTTAATCTGCCATCAGCTATATCTTCAGTATGGCCCATAGGTTATATTCGGGCCCTGAAATAAGCATTTTTCTTGGATGAAAGAATAATCCAAAAATAAATCTTCTTGGATGAAAGAATAATCCACAAATAATCCAAAACTAGTCTACTAATTTTTATTGAAATCTGTGTACTTGTCAGTGTAATTTGACTAAAATTAACTTAAGAAACATTAGCTGCCATTTAAATCTCATTATTAATGTCTTTCTTTGTCCATTACTCAGTACAAAGGAGAGATTCAGAGAAAGTAAAAGAATGTAACAGTAGTCTCTACTCATGAATTTAAGTCTACTTTGTAAATGAATGGTGTAAATTAATTCAAACGGACATTGTTATGGACATGATAGACTGACTTTTTCTATAAATCATGCTTTTCAGATATATGGATTCTGAATAAAAATACTTGTATCTTAATTCTATTTATTCTTCTTGTAGGATGGCTACTTTGCTTAGCAAGTTCCGGATAGACTTCTCTGATATTATGGTCCTAGGAGATATCAATACCAAACCAAAGAAAGAAAAGTAAGTTACTTTACAAATTTCTGATGCTTTTATAGATGGCATACTCAGACACAGATTCTGGTAATTACTCTGGTAATTAACCCTGAGATTTTTTTTTCCCTGCTATTAATTACATGTGAAGTCAGTATTTTAAAAATCTAGTATTGATAGTTGGCATGCATGTAGCAGATATTAAACAAAATCTAAAGAGTTTTCAATATTCAGAGAGGATTTCAGTTACAGCTTTACAGTTTGTAAGGTTGTAATAAGGGTGGGGTTGCTTCTATTGTAAAACAGTGTATACCAGGTGCTTCACACTAGATTTGATACTGAATCTATGTTTTTCATGTTCATAGAGGATTAGAATGCCATTTATATTATTTTACTGGTAAGTGTATTTCAATGTAGAAATTAATTTTGCATTTTCTTAAATCTTTAGTGTCCTTTCCCCTTCAAAATATTCTAGTACATTTTTTTTACACTACTTTTATTCATTGATAACTGGGAAAACCTTTGGGTGTTTTGAGCAGAGGAGTAACACAATTTGACTTATTGCTCAAAGGGATCATTTTGGGTACTATGGTAAAATTTATTTAGGTTGAGAGAAAATTGCCATAGTGGTAGAGGTTAGATACAAGGAGATCAGCTTTAGCAGTTAAAAGTGGAATTTTATTACAGGTTGGAGATTTCTAATCCCAAGTGCTTGGGACCAACCACAGGTGTTTCAGATTTCAGATTATTTTTATTTTGAAATATTTTCATTATACATGCTGGTTTAGCATCCCTAATCCAAAATTCAGAAATTCAGAATGCTCCAGTGAACATTTCCATTGAACATCATATTGATGCTTAGAAGGTTTCAGATTATGAAGCATTTTGGATTTTAAAATAGGGATGCAGAATCTATATCGTCCATGTGGGTTCTAATTTTCTCATCAGTTTGAGAGACTAGAAATAGCCATTTTCAAAATAAATTCCCAAAGTGATATTATTGTTGGGGTATGGAGAGAAGCATAATAAATGAGAGGCACTAACTTTGTAAGTTATAATTTAGTATTTAAGATTCTGCTGTTATGTAACTTAAAATAAGATTAGTTGTCACTATTCTCTCTGTTTTTTAAAGTATTGTAGCTTTTGAGGAAATGATTGAGCCATACAGACTTCATGAAGATGATAAAGAGCAAGATATTGCAGATAAAATGAAAGAAGATGAACCATGGCGAATAACGGATAATGAGCTTGAACTTTATAAGACCAAGGTATTCTCTCTCTTCTGCTTCCTTGTCATTAATCTTTTATAGTATAATTTTTAATTTTTAAAAATACTTCCGACATAAAAACTAGGAACTTCAATTTGATATGGGAGGGGTCAGTTGTATAAATGAACTCTACCTTAACTTAGATTTATATGAGATTAGTGGAAAGCATTTTTAAAAAATAGAGAACAGATATTTTTATTACACTAAAATTCATGTGAGTTTCTTTTTAATTCCTTGTAGTTTTATGGACCATGCTGAATTCTAATTTCCATAGGGTCTAGGAATGACTTTGTCCTGTTTCATTTCAGACATACCGGCAGATCAGGTTAAATGAATTATTAAAGGAACATTCAAGCACAGCTAATATTATTGTCATGTAAGTAATATCTTTATAAAGATTTTCTTGCTAATTTCTGATAATATGCTTTGAATTAATTTCTGTTCCAACTACATATCTGTGTGACACCCATATTGACTTAATGGTTATCAGGAGGGAAAAACAAACTTGTAAAAATATACTATGCTTTAAGCATGTGGAGAAAGTCAAAAACTTTAAGTTTATATGAATCCCAAGTAATTTTTATATCAGGAAAGGTTATATTGGAACCTTTTGTTTACCCTTCTACTCACCTTTTCAAAATTCCTTATCTTGGTGAACACAGCAGCATAGCCATTAAGCATGTATGGGATAGGAGGATCCTACGTTAAAATTTGTACCCCGGACAGCTTCCTCTTGAAAATAACCCCAAAAAAAGTTATTTGGAAGATTAAATTTGAATAGTGATTTCTATCTGTATTCCCATTCTTATGTTTCCCAAACACAAATTTGTATATACAGACACATTGTCCTTGAGTTAAATACAGATGCTGAATGTCTATTTTGGCTTTTCCTCTATTAAACAACAGTAGATATTCTTTGAACCCACATTTTCTCAGTTCTGGAGCCTGTGTCCTTAGGAAACCTCAGGCCTCCCCCCCCACACACACAAATAATGAAAAAAACTACCAAAAGATTGTTAGTTTAACAACAAACGTTTAATATATCAGAAACTTTCAAGTTTTGCTGATGATAATGAAATACCTGTAATGGAAGAGACATTACAACATTGAAATTTAGAGAAAAACTTTTTAACAGCAACTGGTCACTGCTACTACCATTCATAAATAGAAATTAAAACTGAGACTGGGTGTGGTGGCTCACACTTGTAATCCCAGCACTTTGGCAGGCCGAGGTGGCTGGATCACAAGATCAGGAGTTCAAGACCAGCCTGCCAACATAGTGAGACCCTGTCTCTACTAAAAATACAAAGAATTGCTGGGCCTGGTGGCAGGCACCTGTAATCCTAGCTACTTCGGAGGCTGAGGCAGGGGAATCGCTTGAACCTGGGAGGCAGAGGTTGCAGTGAGCGGAGATCATGCCACTGTACTCCAGCCTGGGTGACAGTGGGAGACTCCATCTCAAAAAAATTAAAACTGAGCTAAGAGAAGATAAAAATTGCATTTATCCATATATAGCTTCTGTTTTTTAAATTTTGATAGTAAACATACCTTTCACCTAAAAGAATTCTATTCTTTTGGAGAAGGGGAAATCTTGGATTTAGTGTTAGATACCGAATGTACTCTGGTTCATAGAAATATTTATTTACTGTTCTTATCAACAAATTTTTAAAAGTCTTTTGTTGAAAGATTAGAGTCTTGTATATCCACATGTATGGTGGTGGTACCATAATATTATAATACTGTATGTTAAGCTGGGCATGGTGGTGTGCACCTGTAGTCTTGGCTACATGGGAGGCTAAGGTGAGAGGACTGCTTGAGCCCTGGAGTTTTGAGTTCAACTTGGCAATGTATTGAGACCCCCATCTCTCTAAAAAAAAAAAAAAAAAAAAGAAAAAACATATTTTTACTGTATCATTTCTATATTTAGATATATAAATGCTTACCATCATGTTACAGTTGCCTGTGGTATTCAGTACAGTCATGTATTGTACAGGTTTGTAGCCTAGGAGCAACAGGCTATGTCATAGCCTAGACGTGTAGTAGACTACACAATCTACTTTGTGTAAGTACTCCCCTGATGTTTTCACAAGGGCAAAATTGCCTAACAATAAGTTCTAAGAAATGTGTGTCCATTGCTAAGGAACACGACTGTAGTTGTTATTCTATATCCAGAATCCTCACTTAGAAATATTCTGTAATTATAGTAATTTCTAGTTACTGTAATCTACTTTATAAACTTTGCTACATTTTATTTTGTAAATGTATTGCTCAGGTTTTTTTTCTCTCTCTTTTTGATATCAGGAGTCTCCCAGTTGCACGGAAAGGTGCCGTGTCTAGTGCGCTCTACATGGCATGGTTAGAAGCTCTATCTAAGGACCTACCACCAATCCTCCTAGTTCGTGGGAATCATCAGAGTGTCCTTACCTTCTATTCATAAATGTTCTATACAGTGGACAGCCCTCCAGAATGGTACTTCAGTGCCTAATGTAGTAACTGAAATCTTCGATGACACATTAACATCACAATGGCAAATGGTGACTTTTCTTTCACGATTTCATTAATTTGAAAGCACACAGGAAAGTTGCTCCATTGATATGTGTATGGAGACTTCAGTTTTAGTCAAATTTCATATCTCAGTCTTAATGAATGGTGATTCTTCTCTATTGAACTGAAGTTTGTGAGAGTAGACTTTTCCTTTGCTACTTGAATAGCAATAAAAGTATGTTACTTTTTGATTGATGAAAGGAGTACAAAAAGCCTTTAGCCTCGAGGTGCCTTTTGAAATTAACCAAATTTCATCCATATATCCTCTTTTATAAATTTATAGAATGGCAAACTTTGCCTTCAACTATCGTTTTTATTTCTAGTCTCTTCCACTTTAAAACAAAATGAGCACTGCTTGTCTTCTTTCATTGACCATTTAATGTTGGGTACTGTATGTGTTTTGTTACTTTTGTAAATGTATCTGTTAGATATTAAAGGTGAGAATTAGGGCAGATTAATGAAAAATGGGGAAGGGGAGATGGTAACCAAAAGTGACCCCACGGTAAGGTTTATATGAGTATTTGTAAATATAGAGCTATAAAAATATAGGCCCCCAAATACCTTTTAACCCCTCTGATTGGCTGTTATTTCTTGAAACCTTAGGGAAGATTGAAGATTTATCCCATACTAATTTCTGTATTCCATGCTGAAAAATCACGTCATTCTTTAAACAAAAATACTCAAGATCATTCATATTTATTTGGAGAGAAAACTGTCCTAATTTAGAATTTCCCTCAAATCTGAGGGACTTTTAAGAAATGCTAACAGATTTTTCTGGAGGAAATTTAGACCAAGCAATGTCATTTAATAGAATATTTCAATAAACACTAAGTGGAATTTCAGTATACTGTACTATCCTTTACAGGTCATTAAAATAATGTTTCATCAAATGGTTAAATGGACCACTGGTTTCTTAGAGAAATGTTTTTAGGTTTAATTCATTCAATTGTCAAGTACACTTAGTCTTAATACACTCAGGTTTGAACATATTATTCTGAACATTAAAATTTAATCCATTCTTAATACTTTAAAACTTTTGTGTTGAGAAAAACTGCCAGTTTGTGCTTTTGAAGTGTCTGTTTTGACATCATAGTCTACTAGTACAATTTTGACAGTGCATATGTACTGTTACTAAAAGCTCTATATAAAATTATTAATGTGAAGTTTTTTCATTTATTATTCAAGGAAGGATTTCCTGAAAACATTTCAAGGGATTATGTCTACATATTTGTATATGTGTGTGTATATGTATATGCATACACAGATGCACATGTGTATATATAATGAAATTTATGTTGCTGGTATTTTGCATTTTAAAATAATCAAGATTCATTAGGCAAACCTTCTGTTTTAGTAAACATAAGTTCAAAATCAGATTAACAGATACAGGTTTCATAGAACAAAGGTGATCATTTGAAGGGCATTCTGTAATTTCACACAGTTATCATCCAGTTAGAAAATGGAGAATACTTCACCTGAAGTACTGTTAAGTGGGTTAATTGATATGTTTCAGTGGTAGAGGATATATGCAGGTTTTCATGAATCTTTTTTTGAGACAGAATCTCTTTTGCCAGGCTGGAGTGCAATGGCACAATCTCGACTCACTTCAGCCTCCACCTTCCGGGTTCAAGTGATTCTCCTGTTTCAGCCTTTCAAGTAGCTGGGACTACAGGCACATGCCAACACACCCAGCTGATTTTTGTATTTTTAGTAGGGATGGGCTTTCACTATTTTGGCCAGGATGGTCTTGACATCTTGACGTTGTGATCCACCCATCTCGGCCTTCCAAAGTGCTGGGATTACAGGTGTGAGCCACCACACCCAGTAGTTTTCATGAATCTTGAATAGACATCTATAACATTATTATTATTTTCAATGGTGTGCAGCATTTTTGCTGCATGAGTATGAACTAAGTATAGAGCTCTAGATAGCTTGAATTCAGAATATTAAGAAAATGAAGTAACTGATTTTCTAAAAAAAAAATTTCTACCTTATAACTCAGCATTGTTTTCAAACACTGCAGGTTTTGCAATGTTTGGGGGGAAATACAGTAGAAATATTCAGTAGACAATATGTGTGAACTTTAAAAATGGATAATAGGGCATGGACTGAGTGCTGCTGTCTTGAAATGTGCACAGGTACACTTACCTTTCTTTTTCAAGTTTTTCCCATTCAGGCAAACAACATTGTAATCTGTACTGCAGGAACCAAATGTCATGCATCATACATGTGTGTATAAAGTACATAAAATATATCTACATATGCATAATGTGGGATGGGTAATACTATCTGTGAAATAATTTAAGAAACTTTTCACTTAAAAAAAAATACATTGCTTTCACTTAACACTAGACACCAGGTCAAAAATTTTCAAGGTTGTTACAGTACTCTGATAAATTTCAGCAATTCTTAGAGATGCTAGCTAGTGTTGAAGCTAAAATAGCTTTATGCTGAATTTTGATTTTTATGCCAAATTTTTTTTAGTTCTAATCATGGGTGATAGCTTGGAAGTAAATAATTATGCCATGGCATTTGACAGTTCATTATTCCTATAAGTAAGAAATAAGTTTAGAGAGAATGGTGGTATTAAGCTGATTATTAACAGTTACTGAAATCAAATATTTATTTGTTACATTATTTTATTTGTACTTTAGGTTTCCTTTTACATTCTTTTTATATGCTTTCTGACATTACATATTTTTTAAGACTATGGAAATAATTTAAAGATTTGAGCTCTGGTGGATGATTATCTGCTAAGTTCGAAAATGTAATATTTTGATAATACTGTACTATAACTGTCACACAAATGCTTTTCTAATGTTTTAATCTTGAGTATTGCAGTTGCTGCTTTGTACAGAGGTTACTGCAATAAAGGAAGTGGATTCATTAAAACTACTTAATGTCCATTCTTATTTTTATCTGTTTTGTAAGTCTTTGCCAACGTTGTGGTTTTTATCTCATTTAGATAACTATTACTTCATTTGTGTCTGAATTTTTTAAATAGCTGTTACCTTACTATTCATGCCCTCAAAAAGTTGTTTGAAATCATTCACTATACCTAAGTCTCTGGAATAATCACTCTTCATATTGACAGTGTGACCTGAACCATCTAGATGTGGCACATTATGGTCTTTCTTTTTTAAGTGACCTGGCTTTTCTGATTCTGTTTTATCTTTGGGCCAATCTCCTTTGTGAATGAAGAAACTAGAAGATTAAAAGGGATTCATAGTCCCTAAATATAATCTGTTTCTTTCCTTCCAAAGATTTTTGTCTAAGCTCATTTGGAGTTTTAGAAAGCATTCTCACTTTCTCATTTGAACATCACTGTAGGTGTGATATATATGCAGGACAATTATTTATCTCTTTTACTCTTGAGAAAGCAGCTTGGAGCAGTTTAGGGAGTTTTCCAAGGTCCTGTGGTAAATCAAGGAAGGATGTTGGTATAGAGCCCAGGTCTTTCATCTCCAGGAATTTCCTCATTATGCATTCACTGCTGGTTGATCCATAAGATAAGATGGCTGGGATAGATTGGTCCATTTCCAAATTACTCACCCCTGTCTGCCCAGCAAATATGTGTTAAGGTAATGCAAATTATAGTTAAAAATATAGATTGGCTACAGGGTGCCGTAAGAGGTTTGAAACAAATTGTAAATATCCATTTTTTTGATTTGTTGTCTTTCTTATTCTCAAGTCACTACTGAGGCCAGTTTACTCACTTACTCGGAAAGCTAAAAGAGAATTTAAAGGCAATTAAGTTTGTGACATTTTCTAATATCAGACCATACAATAGGTTTTACAACAGGAACACCATTCATCTTTGAGCCAGAAGGTTTTTGTTGTTTGTTCACCAGGAAAAAAAGATAAATACATTTGATATGCTTCCCTGTTTATGTGCCTATAGGAAGTTTATAGGGTCAGAGGAAATAGATGGCAGTTTAATGTTTAAGTTTTGGGGTAAAGATGGTACAAGTTCTAGGATATGCTCAATAGAGAGTACTACATAGTTTATCTAGTTCAATAATAAATGGAGTGTCAAGTCAATGGGTTAACCAACTTGACATACGTTTTTTGGTAGAGTACTCAAATACCTAAGGATCTAAGTCTCATTGTCCTTTATGGAATCTGGTGGCAATGGTCATGGACCTGTTTTACCTATGTGATGGGCATTTAACATGGTCTATTAAATGATATCATTAAGAACCTCAGCCCATTTTTTTTCTCCTTGAATGTACCATTTAATTTTGTCTTAGACAAGGTAAAAGTTTGAAACTATTAGGGAAGATATAAATGCTGCTTCATTTGTCCCCTCCTGCTGTGCAGCCTTCCTTGTGGCTGCTGTCCTCACAGATCAGGAACTCATTCCCCAAAATGAGCGTGTACTATTAACACACATCCTTTGTTCCACTATTCTAGGATATAAATACAAATTACCAGTATATTCTACCCACAGCTACAAATGAAAATAAGCTTACTTTTTTGATCCACAAAACAGGGTTAGCATCCATGGGTATTGAATGCAGAAACCTGAGTAAATACTCGTCAGAATTTTGTTAGAATACTGCCAAAGCTTTTGAGGTAGAGAATTTCGGAGATTTTATCCTGGAAGAGTTAACTTTGTCTGAAGAAAGGAAGCAGTTTATAGGATGATTTTATATCTAGCCGTCATATCTCTAAGATATACCAAAAAAGACAGTTTTAAAAGTAAGTAGGCAGTGTTCATATTTATTTACATAAGGTACACATAAAGGTGTATAACTACTAAAAGATACTACATTTGCTCTTTTACATTCTAACTTAAGCTTCAGTTGAGCCATTTTCCAAGGAAGTCACAGTTAGAAAAGGAGCAATCTGTAGGCATTTATTTGAATAACCAAAAAGTCACAGGTTATTTTTAACTTTACAACATTTTTGTTTAAGCCATGAAAACTGTCCTCTGAGTTCCTAAGAAATGTTACTATTCAAGAAATTTAGATGATGACAAGGACAGTTTGGGAAGGAGGTGGCTGGTGGCAGTGAGATGGAAAATTATGCTCCAAGAAGAGGTTTATGAATTGCAAAATATGTGCCTTTAAGTCTTAGTGTCACATTTCCTTTGGGAAACAGTGAACTGTGAAGAATGGAAGTTTCTTTTGAATTTTTAAATCTGTTGACACAGCCAGCATCTTCTATTAGCTACGTGGTGCCAGTCTCAGAGCTATAATACCCTACATCTTTCAGGTAGTCTGTTTTCTCTGTGGTCTTTCCATCAGTAAAATGATCCTTTGCTTACAGTCCATGCACCTGTGAGTTTAGTATTGACGTAAATTTCACACTTAGGCTTTTTCAGAAAATTGGTAAGGAAGCACAGATGTATTATGTAATGAAACGTTGATTAGAACAGTGGTTCTCAAACTTTAGTGTGCCTCAGAATCAATGGCAGGGCTTGTTAAAACATACTTTACTCCTGTCACATAATCTCTGTTCTAAGTGAAATTCTTTATGTAGGCTAGTTCTCAATATAACCCTCACTTCTTTATGCTTCCTTTTGTCCTTCCTCTGATGGTATACTTGTATTTCCACCTCCCCTTAACACCAGTTGGGAATTCAAATGATTATCTCCTTTCCACATTCCTCAGTGTTTCCCTTTTATATTAGGTCTTTGTCAGTAGCAAGAATAGAACCTAAAGGAGGCTAACAGAAAAAGGAAACAGAAGGCAGCTTAGCTCAGGGCCTTCAGTGAGAGTAAGCAGGGACTTGGACAGTGTCTAGGGCTCATCTTTCCTTCTCTTTGGTTTGCCTTTCTAAGCTTGATTCTTCACATAGACTATCACTGTGTAATGTGCTCTGGGGCTTCCGAGAAAACCGTACTCAGTCCTGGTAGCTTAATTGCAGTCTCAATATTGGGACCCTGAACTGATGTCATGGCTAGAGAGTTGAAAGGTAGTAAGATTTAAGATGTTGAGGAGAAAAAGGTCAATAGAATAGGGTGGTGAATTGCACCCAGGCAGTGAGCAGACGGGAGTAGTTCTGCAATGTGTCTGGATTGGTCGAGTGCTGTCTTCCTATTCTAATTCAGGAGAGGGAGAGAAAAGAGTTCACAGCAATTAACACTGACTGCTTTGACAAGGGCTAACCTAACTAGATGTTTAACCTTTTCTTACAGAAAACTTGCTGAATCCTCCAGAAATATCCAACTGCACGTCAAACTATGATGTTCCAAATGCTTAAAACGTGAAAATACAAATAGAGTAAATAAGGATGATGTTCAACTCATGAGTCAGAGAACCAGTAGGCAAAACTGGTTAAAGGAGAATTAAAGGAATAGGACATATGTCTTCCACCAGGAAAGGCATTTTTATATGTTTGCTGAGTTAGGTCCTAACCAGTGGTGTTACCTTTTTTACTAGACAGACAATATTTACATCTCTAACAGATGAGGTCTACAGTAAAACACGTAATTTCTTAGAGTCTAAGCCCTTAATAGTTAGTAAGTAGTAAAGTAAAAAATGGATACTTTTTCCTAGAACAGTGGTTCCTAAAATGTGACATGGGAACTGAGTTCAGGGGGTTCTGCACAGTTGAAACTATTTTCATGATAATGTTAAGATGTTAGTTGCCTTTTTCCCCCATTCTCTGCCAGTGTACAGTGGTGTCTTCCATGAGTTAGTTGACATGTGGTAACATCATTGCTCCAATGGGTAATGGCATCTGTGAAGCTATGAGAATCTGGTTGTCATCTGTGAAGCTATGAGAATCTGGTTGTCTTCTAATAAAGCAAACATTGAAGAGATCTGAAAACATGCAGAACAATGTCTATCTTCTTACCAATCATTTTTGGAAAATAGTTATTTTCTTTTAAAAAGGTTATTTGTATTTACATGAATGGATTTATTCCTATTTTTGATGACTAAACTTTTTTTAAATTTTCTATTTTGATATCTAAAGTGGTATATCAGTCCACCCCTGGACCAAAACCTAAGTCAGGGGATAGGGTACTGTGTCCACCTGAGCACACCAAGTGGGGAAAGCTCCCCAAAGAGTAAAGGTGCTCTTCTGGCCTCATCTTTGGTTTTGAGAGCCAGGCCATAAAACCACCTTAAGGACAGATGAAGATTGTGGGGGTTAACAATAAGTTTATTCTTGTTAAGTTGCAGAGTTGGGGTGTGCAGGGGTTTAGGGAGAACAGTGATGAGGGTACTTCGTTTCCCTTGCCATGTCAAAAATGACTAAGAATCTTTTATTAACACTCTATTGGTAGGAAAGGCAAAAGTCTGTTTATCAAGACCAAGATACCCTCCTTGGGGTCAACAAGGCTACCCTGAAAATACATGACTGAGTTCATTCCTAGTAGTATTTAAGATGACAACCACAGGCTCTGAAGCCAGACTGCCCAAATTCTAATCATCTTCTTGTCATTTGCAAGTGAACTTTTCTTGGCCTCAGTGTCCATATCTGTAAAATAGGAATAATATAGTCCTTACCTTACTGATCATTATAAGGTTTAAATAAGACAATTTGTTGAAGAAGTTTAGAACTGTGCCTGGTACATAGTGTTTATATTGTCCACTATAATGATAATGTTGAAACAAGATTGCTGTATTTATCATTCAGTTATAAGGTTTATGCTTGCTTTTGTTGCATGAATTGGGTAGCTTGCTACCATTTCTTTTTCTTTTTTTTTTTTTTAATTTTTTATTGGATTTTAGGTTTTGGGGTACATGAGCAGAGCATGCAAGACAGTTGCGTAGGAACACACATGGCAGTGTGCTTTTCTTTCCTTCTCCCCTTCACCCACATTTGGCATTTCTCCCCAGGCTATCCCTCCCCACCTCCCCCTCCCACTGGCCCTCCCCTTTTCCCCCCAATAGACCCCAGTGTTTAGTACTCCCCTTTCTGTGTCCATGTGTTCTCATTTT